CCTGAGATGCTGACGAGATCCGAGCCTGCAGCCTTTGCACGTGTGAGCGGAAACTCGCTTGCTCGGTTGGCTGCATGAACAGGGGGAGAAAGGTGGAGTCCAGTCACGACGCTGCGCTCGCCGGTGTGGGCAACCGCAGTCGCATTGCTGCAACGGTAGGTGGAGCGCTGGTCCGCACAGTCAACATTGGAAGTTGCAATAATGCTCACGTTTTTTCTCCACGCAATCTTAAGAAAATCCTTTGATGCACCGCTACAAGAGCCTCGCTGGCCAACCGGCCACCGTTCCTTGAGAAGTGTTGTAGCAGAAGGCAATACCGCGAGTGGTGAAGGATTTAAGGTGCTGAGGCGCAGGGGGCAATTGGTGGGATTGCTACGCGAGAGCGATCTGGGCAGAAACCAGAACTGATGTGAGCCGGAATCTGGAAATGAAGAATTGAGAGCAACGGAACCCATGACCGCATCCAAGGATAGCTTCTTCGTTCTCTTCAACAGACGGGACCTTTTTTATCCAAGTCGGCGGATTTTGCGAGCCCGGTGGACCCGTTCAAACCAAGCCGACGGTTGAAGCCAAAATGCCAGGTCTGGTTAGTCTCTGGCTTGTGCGCCCAAACTGGGGAAGCGGGGTGAGAACACGCGGGGATCATGGTCGACCCATGTTGTGCTGATCGCCTCAAGATTTGATTCCTGCTTTGCGGAAAACCCGCAAACGTTGGGCCGCCTTTTGCGCACTCCCCCGAGTTTTTTTGGTACAATCTTTTCCTATTTATCCAGTCAAGCAGGGTACCGCCTTATCTTTCCGAGGTACTATGCTGGTTGATTGCTGTTCGAGTATTCACCAAACCCTCATTTCCGTAGACTGGTGGAGTGGTCGGTGGGAAGGGTTTCCAATTACCGGCACTGCCAAGGGCACTCTCGCCAGTGGTTCGGGCAGCGCAGTCGTTGCTCGCTCCCGTCACGCATGGTACTACTGTGTATGTACCGTAGTTGTGTTGTATGATGCCAGCGGGGGCTGCCTCGACCGGTCATCGTGACGCGAATCGCGCGAGCCGTGAGCTCCCGACTCCCGCGTATGTCCAATTCCTCCAAGGTCACTTGATGAAGATTCAATCAGACGATTAGATCGTATTTTCTGGATGGGAGTTATACGCGAGACGGATTCTGTAGTGTTTCAAGACCAAAATGTCGTGCACGTCACTGGCTGTTTTTGGAATCCATCTTTCCAAACAAGCCGAAATCGCTCCTTCAAAAGCGATGAATGGAGCCGGACCTAGGTCCGGGAGACAGAACGTTAGGGCCACTCATGATCGACATACCTCCACTCCGACGCTCCCCAACCCACGCAGTCTTGGCGTCCAGGGGCGGGCACAGCACAGCAGGCCGAACTCCGCAAGTCGATTGTGAGGTGAGCAGCGCCGCACGAGGCCCTTCACTCCGATGCGAAGGGAATGCCGTGTTTCAGATTCACAAGCCGGGGATCCTGCGTTTCCTGCGCACTTGGACACAGAGCAGATTCCTGAGCCTCAGAGAGAACCCGAGAAGAGATATTCCCATCGACGGGCGATACGGATCCGTAGTTGACCGGGATGCCACGTTTTTACAACCCTTGATTGCGTACACTTGTCCGCTATTTCCGCAATTAGGAGTTTTGTTACTGATAACGGCGATTGTCATTTCTCTTCCGCCGGTGGTTCCCACAGAGGAGACAACATCGGTCCCTGGGGCCCAGGCTCGCTTTCATCGAATTTCCTGTTTAGGGCATCGTACTTCAGTCTCTTCGTAAGACTAGAACTGATCGTCAATATTTGGTTGACGATGCCCACTCATCCCACCACACACAAAAAAACAGCCTTTCGATAATGTCGCTGCCTGGACGTCAAGTCCTGGGCAATGTGGTCGTATCGAGCTTGAGGCTGTGGGTGTGGGGCTCACCTCAGCAGAGAGCGATCGTCTTCAGAGAGACCGAGTGGAGCAGTGTCATTGGCTTCTCGCTCTGCGTAGTTTATACTCTGTCACCTTGCGACTACGCGAGCCGGGAATCCCGTGCTAAACACCTCCTAACTTGCGGGAGGGGCCACCATCCTGGTGGTGAACGAGCGGTCCTGACGAACGCCGCCCAGGAGCGAAGCTTGGGATGAACGGGAGCGGGAACGGCGGGCGAAACGGCACCGAGATGGGCTCCGTGTCCCCACAATAACTCTCTCATGGGCCCCCTGCTCTGCATCCTAGCCTTCGCATCGCGCAAGGAAGACCTGGTCGGTGCTGCGAGCTCCGCGCAAAGGCTCCTTCGGAAACTCAAATCATTCATCAATCTTGGATCCAATCCGGATCTGGCGCGATTTGCTTTGATAGGCACAAGCCGGCATGATTCCAGTGTACACTACACTACACCACACGTGTAGGATAATGGGTCCCACAGTGATGCAGGTACGGTACGGAAGGCTCGGCCGCGGACGTGCTCGGGGCGGGATGCCGGAGAGTGGAAGGGAAACTCTCCTCCGGCTCTCAGAAGACTGTCGCTGTTTCTGCGATGTACACTAGTGGGGGTCAGGCTGCGGACGAAGATCGCACCTGCCGCATAACCCGGTGAGCAAACAACTGGAGCTGGTGACAAATCAGGTCAGTTCTCTCCTGCGGGCCTTGCTCACCTCGTCACTTGCACTTGTTGTTCTTTGTCACAGCCCGATAACTTCCATCGCTAGAAAAGCGCATCAGGAATCATCCGGCGTTTGCATCTAAATTTCAAATTCGCCTCGGCCAATGTGCCAACGAGCTTATCTAGGGATACCTCGTTCCAATGTATTAGGTTTCTCCCGTAGTTTTCCTATGATGGCTATGTATCCCAACCCCGCTTCCGAGAGTGCTTTGGAGAGTTTGAGGCCGAGCCTTTGGGGGCGGGAAGGCAAGACAACCCATCGGTAACCTGGCCTCCCACCTGGCCATCAGGAACTCGCCGGTACCTTGCAAGTCCTGTCCTCCATTTTCGCACCGAGTCTCGATTCCCCGACCGCGCCTGGCCTCGAGCTCTCCACACTAGCGTCTGGTCCCACTCCAGAATGCCCGACGAAGGTATGGCCGCAATAGCGCGAGGCCATGACTCGGTGGGATTTTCTTCGATTGACAGATCACCGACCGCGAAATAATAGAATACACAGGACATCTAACACTCCCGGCAATGCAAAATTTACTTACAGATGCTAAATGCTTGCGGCATATAGCATACTGACTAGGTTAGGTAGTAACATAGTACCGAAGCACCTAGCTGTATGAATACACTAGGTACAGAGGTCGTTTGAGCCATGATGCTTCGCTTCAGCCAAAAACCGGGAGGCGCAGCAACTAACAAGCGCGCAAGCGCTCACCCACCCCACATGAGTCTCGAGACCGCGGAAGGCTGCTAGCAAGTACAGAGGCAGTACATTTTGGCCCCGCGAATCCTCCGCGACCTAGCCCGTATCGATTTGTGCCTGCGCATGGCTCCCCAGGCCTGTTGCGGGACAACCAACCGCATACCGCCCTGGTCTCCCGTCATTCAACCCCGTCCTTGGGTCGCCTCCCGTCCGGACGGGTTGAACTCAGGGCCGCTATGCCCAGATTTCGACCTGCGGGGTGCAACTGTTGATCGGCGCCGTCACAGCTGCCAGCTGCCAGTTCAACCATCTCACGCTCTGGCGACCGTTTTCAGCGGTCTCGGTCCGCTAAGGCGAGGGAGTAAACCCGCTGGGACAAGGACACCGGCCGCCCCAGCAACACGAACAACTCGACTCGCAAAAATTCCAAAGACGAGGCCCACCCACCAAAGAACTCTGTCAGCAGCGACAACAGCCCCCAAATGGAACTTTGTTGGGTCTGCGTTCTTGTTGCCACCTCCGGATTCCCGGAGTGTGCTACGCAAAGCTCCAAGTCGCATCGGCGACGAGAGTGAGCGCGCCGGCGTGTGACTTGCTCGCAGACAATGGACCCCGCAGGCTGGCCGAATCTCGATGAGCTTTGCCCAGGAAGGGACTCGTTGGAGGATGATGCCCCACCAGAGCTGGAAACGGGATCCAACAGCTCCAAGCAGGGGAGAGTTGGGCCCCTCCCCTGGCTACTTTTAGACGACCCCTGCTGCCTTGAGACACACTGCTCCCAACACGGTGTAGCGTTGCTATTTTCCTCCAAGTCACACTCTTTTTCCCGAGAGGAGCATCTTTTCGCGACACCCCCCTTCCTTACTCACCACCCCTTCCAGACTCGAGTCCCCAGCCACACCTCTCTGAGCCCCCAACACCCTCGCACTAGCCGGATCGCGGGTGCTGCCGACACCTCTTCGAGCCAAATCTTTCCTCATCGGGCTGGTGCCCGACAGCCTTGCAAGATCAAAAAAAAAGAAGACCACTGCAGTGCAGGGTTGTTGCTGACCCCCCTGAACCCTGGCACCTGGTCGCCGTCCTTTCGCTGCGCACCCCCCCTGGCCCCCTTGTCAAGCTCTCTCTCACAGAATGTCCCCCAAGATGCATCTCTCGCCCCCAGCACACCACGCTCGAAGAGAGACTCCATTATTAGCCAGGCAGAAATCTCATCCATTTACAAATATGAGAAGAAACCCCGGCTCTCTGCCTTATCCGACACACACGGCATCCTTCGATTCCCACAAGCCATTGCCGTATTCATCTGTACATCACTCGGCCCACATATTCAACGCGCGAGGTTTCTTAAGTTCCATCTTGGTCTTGATGTCCCCGTCCTCAGAAGCCATCTGAGCAGTCATCACGGACCAGTGCCCGGGCCACCTATATCTTCCCTCCCTCCCTCGCCTTCTTTTTACTTTCCGAAGACCCAACGCTCCTAAGCACCAATCGGACCCCCCTTGGCCACTACAATCCAACAAACACGGCCTAGCTTTACGCCGCGTGCCTTTCTTACCCTACCCTCCTTCTTCTCCAAGGCCACCTCCCGCCACAACAAATAAATAACCCACGCCTCAGCCCACGAGCACTTCCTATGCTCAAGTCATTCACCATGGAGCACACCCCGCCGCCTGCCCTCACAAGGTCGCCTTCATCTCCTGCAAACACATACTGCCCTTCAGAGAGGTCCTCGCTTGACTACCCGTCGCCGGGCATGGTAGAGCAACAATACAAGATCTCTTCGATGTATGGAGACCAGTCCTGCGTGACCCCTTCCATGGACGCCGACTTGTCTCTTCCTCCCCTTGACTCGATGGGCCACTCGGACTGGAACAGCGCGACGGTCATCCACCCGATTTCGTCCGCCTCCGCCATGCCCAACATCCTGTCTGCCGACTACGATAGCTTCACCACCTACCCTTACAGCCACGATGTCTACCACTCGCACCCGACCAGCCACCCGCCCTCGCTCCATGCCTCCACGCCCCCGCCCACGGCGTCGGCTCCCCGGTCTCCGGCACCGATGAGGACTCCTTACACGCCGGCCACTTCGGTCCCGGCCCCTATGACCCCGCGAGTGAAGATGGAAGGGGCTTCGGATTACAGCCAAAGCACCGAGGCGTCGCATTACCCTTCGCCGCGATCGATCCACACATCCTACACCTCAGACAGCGGCCCGTATGCCAGCAGCACCTCAACCGGTTACCTGTCCGACAACGGGTCCGCCTCGTGGAGCAAGCCCGAGTTCCAGCCTCTTGAGCCTGAGCACTACTATCAAGCCCCGCCCCCGCCGCCGTCAGCATTCATGCACCACGACACTCGGAGGCATGCGTACCGGGTTAACCGGCCCAAGAGGGCGCCGCGCCGGCTGACGACCAAGGAGGAAGCCAACTTCCAGTGCGAGGTCAAGGGATGCGGCAAGCTCTTTAGCCGCAGCTACAACTTCAAGGCCCACATGGAGACCCACGACGAGAAGCGCGAGTACCCTTTCCCGTGCCAGGTCCCCGACTGCACCAAGAAGTTTGTGCGCAAGACGGACCTGCAGCGCCACCACCAGAGCGTCCACCTCCGCGAACGCACCCACAAGTGCGACTACTGCTCGCGCATGTTTGCCCGCAAGGACACCCTGAGGAGGTAAGTTACATACTCACTCGAACTTGATCCAGGCGAAAACAAAACATCCGATGCTAACTCATTATCCTCTCAGGCATATGGAAGATGGCTGCTCCAAGCGGTTCGATATTGGCACCGTGGACTTCCGCGCTGAGGCTGGCTACGACAGCATGCACCCCAGCGCGCGGTCCATGGCACCCCTGGGCCACATGATTCCGCCGCCGGGTGTTCTGCCTCCCATTGGCATCCCCCCGCTCTGTGGCACCAACATGCTCGGTTCCATGCCTCCGTCGATGCGGCCCAGCAGGGAGCCCCTCGCCGCGGGTGATGCCGGCCAGGGACACAACTGGGGGAGGTGAAGCTGAGAAGATGAAACAAAAAAAAAGACAAAAAGAAAAAAAAAAATCACCAGATTTAACAAAGGAGCGGTGTCCTTCTTTTTCTGTTTGGATATATTTCACATTCTTTTTCTGGGTAGATACCAAATTTGGGCGTCGGGGCACAAGATGGGTTGGGTTTTCGGGGTTCGGCTTTTTTCAATTCTTTTCTTTCTCTTTTCTTTTCCTTGTCTCATTTTCCTCTTTTCAACGCTTTGTACGAATAATGTACGCGATATGTGGATAACCGGGGGGCAATTGGGGTTGGTGTTCGGTATAACTACATTGGGAGGCAGATTCTTGGGACGGTGGTGGCCTTGCTTCGAGGGGTGGGTGGCTCGGATACTCTGACTTTACGCTTTCCTTCTATTTTATTTTCCTTATCCACTGTCTTTGACAAGAAGAGAAGGGTGACAAGTTCCCCTTGTGTACAGAACCACGAGTTGTGCATATTGTTGCAAATACGTTAGATGTCTTGACTAAAAGAGAGATCTCATTTTTTTTCACCAACAGTTCCGTGGGCCCCAAGTTTCCATCATAGACCAGCTCCCTTACCTGCCCAGTCCATGCATTGGAAAGTCTTGAACAATTCCCAGATCTTCGGCGTTCGGGGCCCTTCCCTGCAGGTGTGCCGCAGCCTCTCCCTTCTCCCGCTTGCCGCGGTTGACGGCCCAGCTCCCGACGCCAACCTGCCCTTCCATTGTCCCCACACCGCCAACCATGGGCCAACCCTAGTTGATGCCGTTAGCGTCTATCACTCTCCACTCGACAAAGAAATTAGCGCGCCAACGCGTTCCTGGCAGTCCTGCATTGCGTTGCGAACGACTCCTGTTTTTTCTCCCTGGCCCATTTCTCAACTGGGTAATTTCTTCGTCAGCTTGAGAAGAGCAATCAAAAGAAGTGCCGATGGAAGCAAACCAAGCCCAGCCGCTCACACGTACCGCAGTCCTCCACATTACACTCCTGTGTAGGTAGGTTCAACAAGGCGGGATGGAATCCGGTCGGAGAAGATCTCCAACGGGAAGTCGGACTCCGCGAAGCGAACTCTCCTATTCGTCCGCTGCCGCAGCAGGAAAGATGAACAGGGCAGCAACGATCCTCCGGCCGCTCAGGTGGTCCCCTCGCTTGCGCTTGTACCTCAGAGCAAAACCTACTCTGACCGCATGGCTCCTTCCCAACGCCGAGAAAGCAGCCTCCAAGGTTCCCCACGACTCGCACCTGCTGACTGCGTTGCCTGCTCGAATGAGCAACAACATCGGTACTTGGTGAAAGGAACAAGCTAAGCCTCCTAGCATCGACCCAGTAAGGTAACTCTCCTGGCAGGAGTAATTAACCTCACTTTTGAACGCCCTGCCCGTGAGCGGGATTCCTTCATTCCCGGCCCCGTCCTCACACCCTCCCCTCCTTCGGGAAACGGCTGATCCGGAAACACAACTGTCATCTTACACCCTCCAGCGCCGAAAATCCACGCGATTGGATCACAGGTCACACCCCGCGAAATGACCACAGAGGGGAAGCCAACGCCCAACTCCCGTAGGGCTGCGCACCTGGGCGTCCTGTCACGTTTACCAGCCATTCATCTCAGCTGCACCAGCCTAACTAAGCCCTATGGTCCGACGTAGCACAGCACCAAGCCCGCGGGCTTGTCATGGCGCTTTTTGCCCCTCGGATTGGACAAACTCTTGACTTCCGAACGAACGCTGACCGGTCGGTGTAATTGATTGGACGTGTCGTAATGGAAAGGCAATCCGATGTCACGCACCACCCTCCCTCATACCATCAGGCAAGACGACCCGCCGCCCGGTCAACTTGCGTAGGTGTATGTAGGTAATTGTCGACGGATGGCTGGTGACTGAGTTTCGGTCAGTCGTCGTATCACGCCAAGGCTAGACTTTTGATTCGCGCAGTGTGCGGGTTCGACTTTTGTCAATATCGATGACTCTCAAGCACACGAAGCGGCATGCCCGTCCGCGACAGTCCAGATCAGCTTAGGGCTTGGCGGATTACTAGATCGCGAGGAACTCACTTCGAAGACTCGAATGTCGCCAACCAACTATGGATAACTACCCGTAATCCGTAATTGTTGGCGATGTTGCATGAGTGGTTCGAAGACTCGTGCCCCAGTGCGCAACGAAATCGACGGGAGTTTCCGGTCCTCCCGGTCAAGGGAGGCCAGCCCAATAGCACGCGGGCCCAAACGAACCTCCGTCACTCCCGTCAACGCCGCCAATCAGAAAAATCAAACGATGATGAACCCCGGGCCCGCGCTCGAGCCGGGCAAGGTGGTGAGATTAGCCTCAGTGATGGGCCAGGGGGTTCTTCAAGGCCCTAACTCTATCGAGACTCCTTCCTTTCTCCCCGACATCGCCTCCAACGGCCGAGAACGACCGACTGTTGTTCTTCAAAGATTGGGGCAGATCTTTCCTCGTGTGGCCCTCGCTACCAATAACGTTCCTACCAATGCCTCCCACGGCCATTCTTTGGACGCACTGGGTAACAAAACCCAGGCGGCCATGTTAAATCACTCGTCTGTTGAATCGCTCTAGACCACCCACCATGCCCCTGCGTCACTAGGAATGACAGCCAGCCCCTTCTCGCGGTGAGGTGAACGATCGGGCCACGAGGTGCATCGCAGAAACAACTCGGCCACATCCGCATTTACACAAGGCCGCTAGGTAGCTGGCAGCCTGGAGGCGTTGCACAGCTCCCGCTCCTACACTGTCGGCTAGTTCCTACGGCCCCCAACTTTGATAAGCCACTCATCCTGCGTCGTCAGAGAACGAACCTCAACAGAACGCCCCTCGCTGTCAACATTGTTAGCCAAGACATACCTCACAAAAACGGTGCTTTTGGGGGCCATACCGCGATGCGTTAATCGGCCTTGTTTAGGGAAGGTGTGGCCCGAAGGATTGAAGGCAAGACCTCAGCGATTGGCCCAACAGCCGCCTGGCACGCTCGAGGTTGCACCACACGATGGTTTGACAAGTTCAGAAACCACCAAGGCGGGTTGATGGACTAGGAAACTGTTCGCTTTGGGCTAGGGCGTGCGTCGTCGGACGCAGCCGTCGTCGGATCTTCCTTCTTCAAGACGCGACTCTTCCATGCAGCGTCTTCGCGACCCTTCGGGCCAATCCAAACCCGGTTCGCGGCTTGCAGTCGTTGGTGCACAGCATGAAGGAAAACGGGATTGAGCCCGGTGAGGGCAGCACCGAAGGATTGGGAATGTCAATGAGGCGAGGGACACAAATTGATTACCGAGAAGCGCACGAGTTATTGCAAGGCAAGAGAGCGGGACGATCAGCAATGGCGCAAAACAGACAAGTCTCTGGTCTCCAAACCGTTCAGCCCGCTCTCCCCGGACTGCTTGCTCTCGATCGGACGCAATGCCACATTGCACAACGTCCGTCTGACTGCGTCTACTCTGTACATAGTAGTGTGTGCTACCAAGCATCCCTACGTATCGGGGGAATTCCCATCTTTGACACTCGACCGATCGGTGCGGGTGTCACAGAACTCCAGAACTCAAATTCTTCGGCGACGGCGGCAGCTGCACCAACCCATCAATATTTGCGTCACCATAGCCGCGACTGTCCTTGCTAGCCGACCAGTCAAGGCTTTCTTACGCGTCCCTTTGGAAGGATCGCGTCCGCATGCACAAGCGTCATCACCGCGAGATGGAGAAAACGAGAAGTTGCATCCCCACCTCGCTTGCTTCACGTGGCCGGAGCGGAGAATAGGCGCGCCCGAGCCGCTACCGTCGCGGCGACTGCTTGATCGTCCACTGTGCCGCATGTCTTGCTGGGGAAGAAGAAAAAGATTGACAGAACTTCCTCGTACATGTGGGCTGTGGACGATAATGCAGCCGTCCGTAGAGGTGTGGGATCGAATGCGCCGGACGACTGCATCATAAAAGTCCCGCAAGTTGACACTTCCCCCACGAACTGCCATCTCCAAAAGCGACCAGTGAAACCACAGACCACGCGGCAAGTTAACAAGACTCGGCACGAAATCGGGATCGTGTTGACCGAGCAGTGCGAAAAGAGCACGCCGTGTCGCCGGGCCCGTCCCCCCAAGTCTCGGGACCGGTTTTGCGGCCACGCATAGCAGGCACCAGAGACGCAGGGAGAGAGATCGACAAAACTCGAGATTTGATACGCTCGCTCGCCATACCCCTGGCTCGACCCCGCGGTTCAAAGTCGCTGCAAAATGCGCGGCCCCAGGAACATCATGTCCTCGGGGAACCTATAGAAGTTATTCGCCTTGGCAGCCGCAGAAGTTGACCCGTTCAAAATTTCTCAGCAGAAGGGGGGATGTGTATGTCTGAGCTGCCAACATCCAGGACGGTAAAAGGAAAGCAGATCGAAGGGTGAGAGCATAACTGCATGAACGTCAAAATTTACTTTGTTAAGTCGCACTGGACTACGGCTAGGACAACATACCGTGTACTCTCATGGGTAGGTACATCTGTGCATTCAGGGAGTGTACATACAGATCCTGGCTCAAATCACAGGACTAATCGTCTGCGCCCCTTCTTCTTTGACAATGCTCTCGGCTATTGAAACAACAAACGGGCGGGATCTGTTCGCGGCTAGCGGACGCTCGAGGTTGATCAGATTGCCGAGCCTGAGCCTCCGAGGCTTGTCATCCATGCCGATAGGCACGCCGCTAAACTCAAGACGTCTTTCGGCATGATGTCGCGGAAGTCTAAGCCCATCTCTCGTCTCATGGGGGTCATCGGTGGAGAGCAGTGGGATGAAGCATCCATGGCTGGATGCGTCCATCCTTCTGACAGTACGTAAAGGGTAGATAGGTGGGCGAATCGAGGGGGTGCTATCGATGAATAACAACGGAAATCATATTAATCTCCCCGACGCAGGACTGAGCTCCGCTTCCTCCCTTGCCATACCTCCATACTACTATGCCACCCCACGTTGTGTTAATGTCTAGGGTAGTGGGTAGTATGCATGTTGGCGTGTTGAAAACGGCAAGGGGGGCCAAAGGGGGTGGGAAGTCTCAGGCCCAGAATGAACATCATTATTAGCTTTGCTAAACTGGCTGCGTCCTAAACCGGTGGCTTTCTCTCGCGACATGCGTCTAATCTGAAGGATCATGCAGGAGGTTGTCAACCAACAATACTACCCACGTTAGCACATTTCGGCTCTTTCTTTCGGGGTTTGGCGTCTGTCTGTCTGTCTGTCTGTCTGTCGTGTGTCGTGAATGGGACTAGAAGGCGATATTGTTTGGATTGTGTTTAGACCTAAAGCGGGCATGAAAGTTGATGATCTCGGGGAGCCGGTGACTGAATGAGGAGATGGGAATGGTCCTAGTGAGGCCTGGTCTTGATAATCTAGCGAGGTAGAGGATCCCGTGTGGATGGGGTGTGCTTTAGTTGGGTTAGAAGGCAGATCGATCTTGGAGTGGCTTGAGTTTAGACCTAATAGGGTGGGAGTGAGGTGCAGGACCTAGAAGGTGAGTTCCTTCCTGACACGCTAGTGTGTTCATGAAATGCGTGTTTAAGGATTGAGCGTGAGGCTTGCCGCCGGATTAAGAACCGGGACATCCCGCTCGGTCTACTACTGTTGGAGAACTCGCTCTACTGCGTTTGCTAAGCCGTGATGCTAAACCGTGATATTACACCTTCCTAAAACCCCTTAGTCAACCGTCGCCCCCATTCTTTTGGGTGTCTTTTGAGACAGACAGTTGACGAACGAACATGTCTCGCCCATCTCCAAGCTAACAAATCCCTCCTTTTCGAACACGGCGCAGTAACGACAACCAGTGCCGTCTCGAGGCCATACGCGCCAAGAGCGGGTAAACTGAGACATACTATGTACGCCCAGCCTCGTTGTGGCCACGGCCATAAGGGTAGGAATGTGGCTGCCTGCTCACCTGCTGTTTCTTCCCGCAGGCGTCTTTTGCTGGATATGTCTCGCCACCGCCGACCGATGAGACGAGACATTCTTGTGACACCTCGGGTTAGTAACTGTGCATGGGGGTGGATTCGTGTTGTGATCCTTTCGGTTCTCACTTTTGGGGGCCTCGTGTCGGGGTAAATCGAGTATGTACACACTGGCGGGATGGGGTGTTCTGGGAATAGTCGTCGAGCGAGCTACTTGTTCTTCTGTTCAACCTAGCGTAAACAACTTGAGTGTTAAGGGGGCCAGATGTTTGTGTCAAATACTAGCTCAATATGACGCATCAAAGGATACTCAAGCACTCCTCCTGAGCTTTCACTCTACAGTAAATATCCTAGAAACCTTCTCCCCGCACCGTTATCCCCGAGATTTTTCGCGGCGGCCCCAATGTCAACCATTGGAGACAAATTTGTGTAAGCGGCGTAGTTCCTGTGGCGGTGGTATATGTAATTTGGGTAGGTGTGTGTGTGTGTGGCAGAGTCTGGAAAAATGGAAAGAAGGTTCTCCGCGGTCCCTCCCGCTTGCTGTGCCGTGTTTCGTTTTTGTTCTCTATTTTTCTGTTTCCCGTGCCGCTTGACGATCTTGGTTTGTTGGCTGGCTCGTAAAGTAGGTGGCGGTCTTGGAGGGATATGGATGGCTATGTGTGTGGGGGGCTCAGGGTAGGGAGCTACACGTCTCTTTTTCGTTTTCTCTTTGGGGACAATTGGTGATGCAACATGGACGTAGGATGTTTGGCTATAGACGGACCCCGGTTTGGGTGGCCGCGTAGTAACTGTGGGAAGTGTTTTATGATTGAATGAGACCACCGTTGTAGTACGAACAGGATCCATGTTTGTCACGGCTTCTGTCATATACGGAGCGGGTTGCCGGATGTGGTGTTATGGCCGGCTAAGAAGCGATGTGGTGCGGGGGGGTTGTTGTATATGGCCGGATGGCATTAACGTTTGTTTACGCCATGATAGTGGTTGATGTTCGTCCGAAAAGTGATTATACGAGGGTTGGTGGGACCTTGGGGGTTTGTTGACTGCAGAACACTAGATGTTCTGTAATGCACACCACTGCACTATGTTGACCTCCTCAACTTTGGTCTCGAACAGTGTCTTGGAGGGCAAGAAGAGCAACCCGCTTTGCCACATGTTTATCGCACTCCTACAATAATGTTTTCCCCAGAGGAAGATCAACAGATGGAAGGGACCAATCTCCAGGCCCATATCCCATTCACCCCGTTCACCAGCCACTCCGCATGACCAAGTCGAACAGACACCTATCCGTCGCTCATTGTCATCGGCTGCTTCTTCCCCTGCTCACCGGTCGGATATCTAAGCGGCCCCGAACCACGCTCAATGACAAAGCACCATCATCAGACGCATTTTATCTACCCAAGCGAGGGAGGGAACAAACAAAGATTGAACTCGGCGGGACGAGAGTGAGAGCATGGTGAGAGTGAGATAAAGGCGGTCGGCCGAATGGGCCATCCGGACATGGCGTATTCGGCCGATCCCATCTAGCTTCCTTTGTTGACCGTTCTTTGTTAATTGGTAGTGTTTGTTTGTTTGTGCTCGCTTATTCGTAATGAGATCCGAGGCTGAGCCGGGCCATGGACAGGATATCAACAGATGAGGAGCAACATTGTCGGTCGTAGCTTGGCTTTGGGAATCGTTAGGTAGAGATAGATGGGTGGTTGATTTGTCTCATGGCCCGAAAGGCAGTGAGTGTATTGTATTTCCGTCTCCCTGGCTACCGACTGGACTGTAATGCAGATCAAAACTCCGTAATTAGACTATTTGCCTCTGGAGCAGAGGAGGTAGTCTGGCTAGGTACCAACATCATATTCCCGTTACCCGCCCCTTATAGCGGTGTGTTCTTAGCCTGCGTCCAAAAATTATCCATCTTGCGTTGCCCCAGGAACTCCCTCGCTTCCCCGTCCGTCTCGCACACCTTGCTCCCCCACTTCTTAAACGCGGGTGCCTTGATCTCGCCTTCAAACACCAAAACACAACGGTTCGCCGACAGGTCCTTGAGCTGCCCGTGCTCGTCCTCGCCTTTGAGCCACTCCCGCGCACCCGCCGTGCCGTTGCCCCCCGTAGAAGAGGACCCGGGCGCAGCGGCGGCTAGGGCCGAGGAGGCGGAGGCGGCTGTGTCCCGCTCACGCGACGGTAGCGACTCAGTCCAGTCGATGCGGCGGAGCATGAGCTTCTTGTAGTTGTTGATGCTGTGCTCGCCACCCTCGACGATGACGAGGTTGAACTTGGGGTGCATGATGCACACGCCGCTAAGGCCGTTCTGCGTCGCGTTGATATTGATCTTGTACCGGTGCTGGCCGTTGACCAGGCTGCCGATCTTGAACACGACCATGTGGATGCCCTTGGCCGCGTCCTTGGCCTGGTTGGCTGCCAGCTTTTCGTGCTGCTCTTCCTTGGTGAGCTTGCGCTCCTCGTTCGCTTGCATGTGCTTGTCAAACCGCGCTGCGATCTCGCGGTTGACCCGCGCTTCGACGGCCGTCGGATCCTTGACGGCTTCTTCGCCGAGGACACGCATCAGGTTAGACTTCTTGACCTTGGGCGGTGGTGCCGGTTCGAGTCCAAGGCGGATCTTGGCTTGCTTCTCTTTGAGCTCCATCATGCGCCGTTGCCGCCGGAGTTTCTGCTGCTCCTTGGGCGTCAGGTACATGGGTTTCGGCGTCGGCGCGAGCTTGTCCTGCGGTGGCTCAATGGCGACTGGGTGCTGGATGTACAACGTGACGATGCTGTCTGGCGTCGTGATCTTGAGGGACTGTGGGATGCCGCTGTAGTCTTTGCCATCGATGAGCCCTTCATCCCACCACTCCAGTTCGGGAGGCTCTTCCACCACAAACGCCTTCTCCACGGCACGGTCCTCCTCCAGCCCTGCCTTGCGGGCTTGTTCCGCGATCCTCCTCTTCATGTCCTCCAATGCGGCCTGTCTCCGCAGCGCGTTGGCTTGCTGGATGTATTTGCCCTTCTGGTTGAAGATGAGCTGCCTCGACTCTCGGGCCTTGCCCGCTGGCACATTGTTGCTGGTATCGATATACGGGTTGACGCGCGGGCCATCGTGGGATGTCGACGGGAAGCCGCCGGGCTTCCCCTTAGTGTTTCTGGCACTATCTGGCGTAGGGCGCTGTCCTAGAGATGACCTGAGGGAATCGCCCGGCTTGACCGGGGCATTGAGGTCTGCGAGAGCTGGGTGGAGAGGGGTGTTGAGGCCGCCCTTGGCCTTTGCCCCTCCCACCGCCGCAGCAACACGCGCTTTCAGAGCCGCCATGCGGTCCGCAGCCGACTCGGGCTTTTGGACCCTCGATGAAGAGTCATGGCGGGGGCCGAGCCCGCCGTGTTGCTGGCCGCGGTCCATCGTCGTCGTCGCTTCCGGCGTTGTCGTCCGGACACGTGCGATTGAGGCGAAAACAAAGCCGCCGTTTCGTCGTCTTCGCTAGTATTTCTGCCGACAAGACACCGCCGTTAAAAAGGTTCCGTAGGCTGTAGACGAGAATGATGGCCAAGTTGGGGGTTGCCGATCCAGTGTTTGTTGCCCAGTTGATGCAGATGATTAATTGAAGTCAGGCACGCGAACCCCAGGCCTGCGAACCCTGAAAGTTCAAGCTGAACGGTGCAGCTCAGCAGCTCATGCCAAGCCTGCAACGCCCAGGCAGTTGGGCGCCCCACACATGCGGCAGTGGGGTTCTGCCTGGGCTGACCGCCAAAAAATATTCTCGCCAGAGCTCCAATGTCCAACTCCCCACCAATCACGGCCTCCAAAGTCTGTGATCTGGAGGAAGAAGCGTTTGTCCCGACGCTTTCGACCTCGCGAATCCCCTACAGATCACCAATTTCCCCGCCGCGACGGAGAGACTGCAATGCGCATATGACAGGCTGATTGTCGGTCCGATTGCCCGCCATGAACATCGCGCAGCCCGTGGGATCGTCGCTGGAAAGCGTCGAGTTCACGTTCCTCTCGGCCGACGAGGTCCGGTCGATTTCTGTCAAGCGGATTGAAAATGACAGCACCTTTGACAACCTCCTCAACCCGGTACCCGGAGGTCTATACGACCCGGCTCTCGGGTCATGGGGCGACGCCCTGTAAGATGCGCACCGAACAATGCGTCCTCTCGGTCTCTAGCTGGAAACCGCCTGGAACAACATTAGAGAAAGAAATTGAGATTGGGGAAAACTGACATCGACTTTGCGCAGGTGCCGGACATGTAATTTAAATCAGGCGCAATGCCCGGGGCATCCGGGCCACATCGAACTTCCCGTCCCAGTGTACCACCCAGTCTTCATGGACCAAGCCTATCGCCTGCTCCGAGCCCAGTGCGTCTACTGCCACAGGCTCCGGATGCCGCGCCACGAAATCCACAAGTACACCTGCATCTTCCGTTTGCTGCAGGTCGGCCTGATCCACGAAGCCGGTATGATCGAGTCGTTCAGCGTTAGTGATCTTGGCGAGCAGCTCAAGAACCTGACCCTCGCCGGCGTTCCCGCCTTTGGGGAAGATGACGAGGCGGAAGAAGAGGGGGCCGACCTTCACAGTGGCACTATTCGTGCCAGGGAAGCATATGTCCGGCGGGTCCTACGGGAGTACAGGCTCAAGGTCAACATTGGAGACATCAGGAAAGGGAAGCATGAGGGTGCGGCCGAGATGAGGCGAGCCCTCATCAAGGAGTTCCTTGCGTTAATGGTGAAGGAGAAGCGGTGTAGGAGCTGTGATGGAATTTCGCCCGTGTACCGCAAGGATCGCTTCGTCAAGATCTTTGAGCGCGACCTAAGCGAAAAGGAGAGGGCAGCCATGGCACAAGCGGGGAGGAAGCGGACGGATGCCCTCGCGCTAGCAAGAAAGGCCAAGAAGAACCCTCATTTCACTCCCGATGAGGGGGTTGCCGATTTGGACACTTCTGAGGAGGGTTCTTCAGAAGATGGGGATAGTGAGGGCGAAGGGGAGGAACTTGACGAGAATGGCGATGTGGTAATGACAGACGGCCCAAAAAAGAACCCGAGGCGCAAGCCAAAAGCTCCAGCGCCCGCACAACGATACTTGAGCACGATGGAGGTCCACAAGCGTCTCGAACTCTTATTCGAGAAAGAGCAAGAGGTCCTTTCCTTACTTTACAACTCGAAACCCCGACCCAGAAGCGCAAAACCCCTTTCTGCCGACATGTTCTTCATCTGGGCTCTTCTCGTACCACCAAACCGGTTCCGACCAGAAGCTCGCATGGGCGATTCCCAGATTTCCGAAGCCCAGCAAAATAGCCTTTACAAGCTAATCCTCAGGAGTGCGTCTATGGTGGCGCAGATTTCACGAGAAATCAGCAATCATGGCAAGGAAGCGGCTATGGACGAAGGGAGGAGGACAAGGGATATGAGCTCGCTATACCAGGCATGGACCGAGCTCCAGGATGCCGTCAATTCGCTTATGGATCGCGACAAGAATCCAGTCCAGGGCGCGGCCGCCAAGCGGAACGAGGAAGGGATCAAGCAGAAGCTTGAGAAAAAGGAGGGTCTGTTCCGGAAGAACATGATGGGAAAGCGTGTCAACTTCGCCGCCCGCAGTGTCATCTCGCCCGACCCGAATATCGAGACCAACGAAATTGGTGTACCCCCTGTTTTTGCGAGAAAGCTTACATACCCCGAGCCGGTGACGAGCCACAACTTCAAGGATCTTCAGTGAGTTACGGTCCTGTTCCATAACCTTCTCGTAGTCAACCATGAAGAATGCTAACAGAAGTAATCAGGCAAGCCGTTATTAACGGGGTTGATAAATGGCCAGGCGCTGCGGCGATTGAAAATGAGAACGGACAGATTGTCAACCTACGGGCGAAATCCCTCGAGGACCGCGTGGCTCTCGCCAACCAACTTCTTGCGCCAACCGGGAACAACTTCAGCGGCCAGAGGAACAAGAAGGTCCACCGGCATTTGACCAACGGCGATGTGGTCCTGATGAACCGGCAGCCTACCCTTCACAAGCCATCCATCATGGGCCACCGAGTCCGGGTGCTTCCAGGAGAGAAGACAATTCGCATGCACTACGCCAACTGTAACACCTACAACGCCGACTTCGACGGCGACGAGATGAACATGCACTTCCCGCAAAACGAAGTCGCCCGTGTCGAGGCGCTCCAGCTCGCGGACACGGATCACCAGTACATCTCAGGCACGGCAGGGAACCCTCTGCGTGGTTTGATTCAGGATCACTTGTCTGTTTCCGTGGAACTGTGCAACAAGGACGTGTTCCTCGACCGGGGGTCCTACCAGCAGCTCATCTATGCCGCCCTGCGTCCAGAAAGCGGGCATATCACGGGGGAGAAGATCGAGCTGGTCCCGCCAGCCATCATCAAACCAGCGCCTCGCTGGACAGGCAAGCAGGTTATTACCACGATCCTGAAGAACATCCGGCCCAACAACTGCGGTGATTTATGGATGAACGGATCGGCCAAGGTCAAGAGTCGCAGCTGGGGCGAAGATTCCGAGGAAGGACAGGTCATGTTTCGCGACGGTGAGTTCATCTGTGGCATCCTCGATAAGTCCCAGCTCGGCCCGACCGACGGTGGTTTTGTCCATGCGGTACACGAGGTCTACGGCCCATCAATCGCAGGGAAGCTCCTCAGCAGCATCGGCCGGTTGCTCACACGGTACCTCGCCATGGTCGCCTTCACTTGCGGTATGGATGATCTTCGGATGACGCCAAAGGGCGAGAAGGACCGCAAGCAGACGATCAAGGCGGCCGCTGATATCGGCCTCGAGGTCGCGACCAAGTACGTCTCGCTGGTGAACCAAAAGCCAACTAAGGACGACCCTTTGCTTCTAGAGCGCCTCGAGGAGGTGCTCAGGGACGACAAGAAGCAGGAAGGGCTAGAGCTGCTCACTAGCGCAAAGTGCGCTGAGCTCTCTACGGAAATCACCAGGCTGTGCCTACCGGCCGGTCTCGAGAAGCAATTCCCGAAGAACCACATGCAGTCGATGACCATTTCCGGTGCCAAGGGCAGTCCCGTCAATGCCAACCTGATTTCCTGCAACCTAGGACAACAGGTGCTAGAAGGTCGCCGTGTGCCCGTCATGGTGAGCGGCAAGACACTGCCGAGCTTCAAGCCGTACGACACCGACGTGAGGGCAGGCGGCTACATTGTGCAGCGCTTCTTGACGGGTATCCGCCCGCAGGAGTATTACTTCCATCACATGGCCGGCCGCGAAGGTCTGATCGACACGGCCGTCAAGACATCCCGCTCCGGCTACCTCCAGCGCTGTCTGATCAAGGGCATGGAAGGTCTGAGGGTGTCATACGACTCATCGGTGCGAGATTCGGACGGTACAATTGTGCAGTTCCTATTTGGCGAGGATGGCATCGATATCGGCAAACAAAAGTACCTCAATGACTTTGAGTTTGTGCTCCGCAACCTCGACTCGCAGCTCCCGCAGATCCGGTACCACGAGGCCGGCACGCAGGCGCTGTTTGAGCACAGGGACGAAGTGATGAAGCGGATGAAAGGCGCGATCCGGTCCACCAATACCCGCGAACCTCTCGACCCAATATCTTCCCAGCTCGACCCTACGGCTTTCGGCTTCGCGACGTCGGAGAAGTTCTACACCAGGATGGCTGATTATGTCAAGGCAAACAAGGACGGCCTAATCAAGGAGAAAGGGTCGGACAAGCAGCAGGGGCAAATCATGCGCAAGACGGCCGAGAAGATTCTGGCGGCCAAGTACGTCCGGTCGCTGGTTGAGCCAGGTGAGGCGGTCGGCATCGTGGCCGGCCAGTCGGTGGGCGAGCCGTCGACACAGATGACGCTAAACACTTTCCATTTGGCTGGTCACTCGGCCAAGAACGTGACGCTAGGTATTCCGCGTCTGCGTGAAATCCTGATGACGGCCAGTTCCAAGATCTCGACGCCGTCCATGACGCTCGTGCTCAATGAGGAGCTCTCGGAGCAGGATGGCGAGCAGTTCGCCAAGTCGATTAGTGTGCTACCGCTCGCACATGTCACCGAGCGGGCTGTCGTGCGCGAGCGCGTCGGCCGCGGCATCGGGCATGCGCTGGCCAAGTCGTTCGAGGTCCGCCTGCGCTTCTTCAAGTCGGCCGAGTACGTCCAGATGTATGCCATCAGCGTCGCTGACGTGCTCAACACGGTGGAGCGCAAATTCATCCCGCTGCTCTGCGCGCTGACCCGGAAGGAAATCAAGAAAAAGCAGAAGGAGAACAGCGCGGCGACGCCCGAAATTGGCAAGAAGGCGGGCGTGGTGGAGATGGCACCGGCCAATGCGAGCCGGGAGCCAGGAGCGGGCGGTGACGACGACGACGATGACGAAGATGGCGATGACGACGCAACCAACGCCAAGCAGCGGGCCAACCGGTCTGAGGCGGTCTCGTACGGCCCCAACGACGACGAGGACGACGAAATCCAGGACCGGATACGGCGCGAGACGGACGACGTGGAGGATGGTGAGGAGGAGCTTGACTTTGTGGACGAGGCGTACGGTGGTAGCCCAGAACCGGAGTCCGGTGACGACGAGCTAGGCGACGGTAAGACCGACGAGCAACGGTCGCGGTCGCGCGAGGCACGGGTCAAGAATAAGAATGAGCAGATTGCCCAGTTCCGGTGCGACGAGGAGGGCGGCGAGTGGGTTGAGTTTACGCTCGAGTTCGACGCGTCGATCCCTAAGATCCTCATGCTCAGCCTGGTGCAGGACGCGGTCAAGAAGTCCGTCATCCAGCAGATCCATCGCATCGGCACGGCGACCTTCGAGCCCAAGAAGCAGACGGACCCGGCTACAGGCCAGGAGCGCATCGTCGAGCTGCTCGTGCACACCGACGGCGCCAACCTGCGCGCCATGCAACAGTACGGCGACTACATCAACCCGAACCGCATCTCGACCAATGATATTGCACAGGTACTCGAGGTGTATGGTGTGGAGGCGTGCCGGAGCAACATTGTGGCCGAGCTCAGCGCCGTGTTTAGCGGTCACGGTATTGCGGTCGACCCGCGCCATCTGAACCTTATTGCCGACTACATGACGAGGTGAGTTTGCGTCCCCGCTCGCCTGATTACCACAGACAGTCCTCGGGGAAATACAATATGACTAACCCCTTATGTCACAGAAACGGCGGCTTCTCAGCCTTCAACCGCATCGGCCTAACCAGCAACGTCAGCCCCTTTACCAAGATGAGCTACGGTACGTCCTCTCCATTACCCTAATCCTTCTCATTTCTATTTCTTCAACAGCGAGCCCTAACCTTCTGCCGAAACAGAAACTACAGTTGGGTTCCTCAAGGACGCGGTCCTGGACGGCGACTGGGATAGTCTGGCCACGCCGTCGAGTCGTTTGGTCGTCGGCAAGCTCGGGACCATGGGCACGGGCTCATTTGATGTCCTAACCAAGGTGCCGACTGAGCATAAGGTTGCTGCCTTCTAAAGTGAAGATGAGACACCATTTGTGTGTTTTTATGTAATAAGACGGGGCTGGGGAAGTAAAAGTTCTTCCCCAGGAGAAACCAGCCCGTTGGCTAGCTCAGTGGCTATGTGGTCTGTTGTAAATAAACCGAACTGGTGTACGGCAGGTAGTTCCGGCATGTGAAGGGTCAGTCAATAACGGTCTGGTAGTTAGTTGCTTCAAAACTTTAGATATTCGTCAAAGCCGCCAGGCGTCAGGCGCGCGCTCCAATCTCTGGCGACCGTTCCACATGTTTGGAGTTGTTCTTCTGCTCCCCACATCACCCCCCAAGTGCGGCAGTGCGGGGTCGGTTGAGTGTTTGTTTCGGTGACCCTCGGCTCGGGGAGCGTCTTCCGATCGGTGTTGCGGAACACAACCGCGCTGCGCGAGCACAACAAACAGGACGGATCCCCCATCCTAAGTGACGATTTCCTTCCATTTCTTTTTTTTTCTTAATTTATTTTTGGTTTTGTTGAGTTCCTCTTGTTGTTGTTGAATATCCTCCCTCGACATCGTCCTACCCCTGTCTCTCGAATACAGGTTGCCGGCGTGGGTCTTAGTCCCTTGGAATGATTACTTATCACTCAACTTAAGCTTCCCCAACACAATTCTTGTCGCCCTCAACCGGAGAGAAGGAAGCAACCGGCAGAAGAGTAACTTAACAGAAGAGTGCGAAACGCCAGGAAGAGAGAAAAGATACTAGGGGGAGCTCTAGTTAAATACGGGGTCAAGTCCGTGTGTCTCCGTTCAAGGGCTGCTGTTGTCATCGGACCTTTACATCTCGCCATCACACCCAAACACACGCCCACGCACTAACGGATTACTATTCATCGACCCATCCGGTTCTTGTTTCCACTCTGAACCCAATTCGAGATGGCCGCGCCCAAGATTACGCTGTATGTCGATACGATCAGCCCGTTTACATACATTGCGTATTACATCCTGCGGGTGGGTCCCCCGTCCGATTAACGTCGCTTTGTCGACGTTCCCGTTCCCCAGCCATCTCCGGTCAACACTTGCTTGATCGAATGGCCGGTCATACGATGTGACCATCCACGGAGCATGGGTTGGGTTATACACGGACACTAACTAAGAAAAACAGCACGATGAGGTCTTCAAAGGCTGCGACATCACCTACGTACCCATCTTGCTCGGTGGGTTGATGAAGAAGGTGAGGGGCCCCCTTTCATTCCCACTTAGGCTACCATACCCCAGGGCCGAACTCGAGGTCAATATCTCTGACACCAACAGTGTGGAAACACGCCCCCGAACCGGATCCAAAGTAACTTCCTCTCGTTTCTCCTATGCCATCCCCCATCCGCCCCCGTCAAAACCCCCACCCACTCACTCACACCCACCACACAGACAAACAAGCCTGGATCTACAACGAGCGCCTACGCTGGGCAGAGCTCTTCTCCGTACCCATGACCGTGCCGCTGCCGCCTGATTTCCCCGTGCCCACAGTGCCCATCATGCGGGCGCTCTGCGCACTCGCGGCCGCGGACGCCGCAGACGCTGCCTCGAGCGCCACTCCCGCGGGGACAACATCACAGCAGCAACAACCACGCCTCATCAAAGCACTGGACGCGCTCTACGCGCGGTATTGGGCCGACGCAGTGGCCATCCACCACCCGGAGGTGCTTCGGGAGACGCTAGCGGGTCTATTTGGGGCTGATGAAGCCGAGAGAAGTCAGTTTCCCTTCCCCTTTCCTTTTTCCTTTCGCTTCCCCCTCGCCCCTCCCCCCAGTCCAGGGCATCCCCACCCATCATCTTTCACGACCCAACCAAACTAACGCACTAACCAACCACCACTCCCTCAGTCCTCACCCAATCCACAACCCCCGAAGTCAAACAAGCCCTCATCAACAACACCGACGCCGCCTTCGACTCCGGCGCCTTTGGCCTCCCCTGGCTGGTCTGCACCACCACCAGCACCGGCACCAGCGACTCCAAAAAAACAGAAGCCTTCTTCGGCGTCGACCACCTCGGCCGAGCGGCGCATTTCCTGGGGTTGGAGAGGCCTGGGTCTGGGTCTGGATCTTCGGCCACTTCTGGGAAGGGAAGTGTGAGTGGGAATGGAAAGGCGGAAGGCGGCGCGGAGGGATGGAAGGCTTTGCTGTAGATATGACGGGGGGGATTGACGGTTAATGTGCCAGAGATACGAGACAAGGGAAGTTTGTGAGGGAAGCCCGAAGACGTACATTAATGAGCGATGAGGTTGTGTTTCTTACATATTCGCATCACGTCCAGGTTACCAGGTGAAAAAAACCCCGTGTGGTACGAATACTTGCATGTAGCCGTTGCGAGGCGTTGAACCGACGGAACATATTACCATGTCGAGAGTCGTACGCAGGCATGTGACGTTGGACAATATGGTGCGCCACTCTGATGATGACCCTACCCCGCCGGCAGCCAAGATAAGGTGTTGTTTTGGTATGACGCGTCGCGTGTCAAAGCGAGGTGCAGTCGCGATACCCCGCTAGGAAATTATCACTTTCACAGTTCATGCAGAAGGCAAAAGAGTCATGATCATGAAATCAGCGTGGTATTAGCAGCATGTCCCTAGCCACCGTAATTGTACAACCCCTATAAAAACCCATCGCAATCATAAACGCCGGTGTCCCTTTGTGCCGTGAATGAGCCCTTCATCCAGAGCGTCCCAATGAGAAAAGTCATGACCACCCAAACCCTAAGCTAACAAAGACCCAACCAACCATGCTTAGTTGCGCTCACCACGGAGACGGCGGGCGAGCTGGATGTCCTTCTGCAACGGTTGTTAGAAAACTGTGACCGTGTGGTGAATACTGTGTATGTGATTACTTACCGACTGGATAGTAACACGCTTGGCGTGGATGGCACAGAGGTTGGTGTCCTCGAAGAGCGAGACGAGGTACGACTCGACGGACTCCTGGAGAGCGCCGATGGCAGAGCTCTGGAAGCGAAGGTCGGACTTGAAGTCCTGAGCGATTTCACGGACCTGTGTTGCAGACGCGTCAGCGCGCGTTCCATGTTTTTGGCGGGTTTGTCCTCGCGTCGATCAGGCCTCGACACGATCGAGCGGCCAGAAATCAAGTGTAGTAAGGATACCAAAAATGGAGAAACTTACCAGGCGCTGGAAGGGGAGCTTGCGGATGAGGAGCTCAGTCGACTTCTGGTAGCGACGAATCTCACGGAGAGCGACGGTACCAGGCTTGTAACGGTGGGGCTTCTTGACACCGCCGGTCGACGGGGCCGACTTGCGGGCGGCCTTGGAAGCGAGCTGCTTCCTGGGGGCCTTGCCACCGGTGGACTTGCGAGCGGTTTGCTTGGTGCGAGCCATTTTGTGATGATGATAATTTGATTGATGGAGGTGGCTGTTGTGCTGGTGTGGATGGATGAAAATTGAATACCAAATGCGGTGGATGTGGAGTTGTGGTGTGGGAGTTGAAAGGGGAAAGAAAGTAGTGGGGGGTGGGAGGTTTAAGTAGGCGGGCGGATGCGGTCACGTTGCAGGCTGATTAAGTGGGCGGGCTGTTCTTGGTTTGGCCGATTGTGCCTACCGTTTTTTGTTGATGCGCGCCGCTAAGAAACCAGGGTCTGTTGCAAAGCAAAATGGGTCAGCTTCTTGCAAGCGAAAAGCCGTCGGTTTTGGTGGGCGATTTGGGTGTGCAAAGCATGTTGTGGCCCGGCCTGAATTTCCATTGGCCCAAAAACTTGATGCAACAACGCAGGGGCCACACGCGCAATTGTGGGGGTGGCCACCGCCTCGGACGTTTTGCCGCACATTGATCGGCAACCAACAGGAAGAAGGGTACGTACCTCCATTGAAGATTGGCGAGACAGGATCCTGTGTTGCGGGATGGCGGAAAGTATCATCACGCAAACGACCCTCAAGGTGTGTGGGTTTTCGAAAAGAATTCTTTGTAGATCGAGCCGACCTGGCACTAGAATGGGAACGAACTTCTGAATCCGGCCAACGATTCACGAGTATGGCACAATGTGAAGGGAGCATTAGAGACAAGAGATATAACATTTGAATTTGTCCATAGTTATGGGATATCAAACTACACATAACTACACATAATAGTCGTTTGCATTGCGTATTGCCACCAACCGTGTAAATTTACATCGCTGTCTCTAAGACAACTCCGTTCCAAATGCCAAGAGCTATTCAAGAGTGGAAGACATGCTCGTCCGCACCCACATCCAGGCGGCACGGAGACCACCACATTATATTAGACAAGCCCATACACTTTCCACCTGTGCATCTACTTCTCTACATAGTATCAACACGTCCTTGATCCCCGGCAACACACAATGACATGGTGGGCCGAGGGAGAAGCTGAAACAGTCTTCCATCCCCGCATTTCGGGCTGGGCTGCATCGATGAAGGTGTTGGGACACTAAATCACGAGGCAACCCATCCGAAGTACGTACCGACATCCCATGACGAAGGCACACCCGGCACCCGGGATGTGACGGGTTTTCACTGGGAATGATGGATTTAAACAAATGGCCGGGGCTCAGCTGTGTCCCCGAAAGTCCCAGGTTCGAGCAGGCCGAAGGCAACGGGTCTTGTGCTGGCGGAAGGCTGGCGGGCCATGGCGCCGGGCCGTTCGGAAGCCCGACCATCTCTTCGAAATCAACCCCGTTTGAGCGGCCGAACCGATTTATCGCGTGACACAGTGAACAGAGAATACGTACCGGAGTCTTTTGCAATTTGGACCACTCATAAATCGGCAAATGCCAACATTGTCGTCGTTCATGTGGGGCTTGCCGTGGAAAATGGGTAGGCCCCACCCGTGCCTTGCACCTGGGAACGCGTTCCAAATCAGCACCGCATTTGACAGGGTTTCGAAAAAAACAGAGCCAAGAAAATCAGACCAAGCTGATTCTGATTGCGGCGCGGCTGCCGTTGATGCCGCATCGGCATTGCCACATTTAAACCCGCTTCTCTTTCCCACGTTTTCCTTTCAACCTTCCACCATTCATTGTGCTCACAGTCTCACCCCCACAAACGCTGCACATCTTCAACCACACACTTTTTACCACATCACCAACCAACCATAAACATGACTGGACGTAAGTCACATCGATGCATCCTCTCTGCATTGTCATCGGTACTGACTCAACCTCTAGGCGGAAAGGGCGGCAAGGGCCTCGGCAAGGGTGGTGCCAAGCGCCATCGCAAGATTCTTCGTGACAACATTCAGGGTATTACCAAGCCCGCTATCCGCCGCCTGGCGCGTCGTGGTGGTGTCAAGCGTATTTCTGCCAGTATGTCCTCCCTGTAACACCCCGCTTTCCGTTTCAGAACGCGTCCAACTAACGCGTCTTCCCCCTCAGTGATCTACGAGGAGACCCGTGGTGTCCTCAAGTCCTTCCTCGAGGGTGTCATCCGTGACGCGGTCACCTACACTGAGCACGCCAAGCGCAAGACTGTCACGTCGCTCGACGTGGTCTACGCGCTCAAGCGGCAAGGCCGCACCCTGTACGGTTTCGGTGGCTAAACAGCCCCGCGCTCGTACAACGACTCTTGATGAACCATTTTCAGCGCGCTGTCTTTTCACTTTTTTCTCTTACTCTCCATCGGGATTATGGTTGGGCTGCGATGAGTTTTCACACTATGGGCAAATGGGTTTTATTTTCTCGGTCTGGGGTTACTGTGTACCATAAGGCGGGTGGTCTGAGGAAGGCGGTCAACAAATCATGGTAAAAAGACATACCATACCAACATAATCGATGGAATCTCACTGCCTTGCGGCAGCGGGTTGTTCTTGATCAAGCACTCTGTTCTCCTTGTCTGTGTTTTGTGTCTGTCTCTGCGAGTCTCCCAGTGGGTTGGTCTCATCTCGCATCCCTCCCTGCCGCTTGATTGCTTGGTTACATGTTCTGTAACTTGCCCCGCCTCACGCTGTGGTTGCCTATACTATCGCATGATTTGTCCTGTAGTTCCGAGTCGCCAGCTTGCAGTCGATTACACCGACCTACCCCGACTCGCAGCGCACAATACTCATTTTTCTACGACAACGACCGACCATGTCCACGTTCCATCTCTACAGTGGAAGCATCATTGCATTATTTAAGTCTGATGGCTGAAGCCAGCACACTTGTTGGTTGAATCAACGCTAGGAGGGCGCTGACCTTACCCGTCTTCTCTGGGCCGACAGGCCAACCTACCTCCTCCTTGAGCAACTATGTAAATAAAATAATATTCGTGGTTTCTAGCGACGTCCTTACGTTGTCTGCAGTTTTCCCGCGTCTTTGACATCTGTGTGTGTGGTGTTGGTTTCGATGATTTTCCACGCCTTGTGGTGCACCCTTTCAATATGTGTCATCCACCACATCGCAGAAAACGTTGGGTCGATTTCCGTCGCTGTTTTTACGGGTGTTGATTGGTTTACGGCTGCGTTCCATTGCGGTTCCGATATTTTATCGTTCGTTGTGGTTCAATTGACGCTCTCTTTTCAATGTTGAGTCCTGGGGGTAACTTAACGGGCAAGTCAACACAACGCAATGTAAAATAGACCAGTAGGTCATTATTTTCGTCATTTGTGGTTGCTAGACACTGCTACGTATGATATCTGGCCTTTTTGGTCTCTCGCGGTTTAGTGTGTAGGTTTAATTTCTTGTTGTGGTTAATGAACGACACTTCTCTATCTAACTGGACTCGACCTTTTTATTTCCATATAATTTATAAAGTAAACATAACAACTTAAAATAATAAACCAACACCACAACAGTAATTTAACAAGCTAGAAAAACACAAAAACTAAGTTCGACACACAGGAATTTCATAACAGCACAGAAAGTTTTTTCGTTCCTTGAAACGAAGTGGTTGTTTGTTTATTAGTGGTCTCGCAATTAAACACCACACAACGGTGTGTGCTTAATCACCAAGACAACGTTATCACAAAGTATAGGTACAACGTGACAGCAAACATGTATCAGACCACAAAAATATTACGAGGCACAAACATTTAAAGACAATTCCCATTACTATCGGAGTTGTCGAGGGTCTTTATCGGGTAACGAGGATGGAACCCTGCTCCCGAAGCCAGAGCCATGATACGTCCAGGAGCAACACGACGGAAGTGCCACACCAAGGAGCAACGTCGGGTCACTAGGTAGCCAACATGTGTTGACTACACTCGACCAGCCGAGAAAGACAGATATAGAAGCTCCCTAACTATCGGACCCGGATACCCAGAACCTCAAGATGACGAGGATGTCTCCGAAGTCATCACCTCGAGCACAATGCATTAGATCGCGCAACTGCACACCAAAACAGGGCCACTAACAGTCCATTGCGATATAAAGCGGCATGGGGTTAAATCTTACTGCTCAGGCTCAAATGGACACTCCCAGGGTTCGGGTTCTGGTTACCCGAACGATGGGTACATACCGATGGCCACACCCGACACACAGAAAATATGATACAAGCATCGATAAGACTCCGAAAAACAGGTATATCAGGGTAGATGTCACGAGGTCATGCTGCGAGCTGACGATTCTTAAATGGTACACCCCATAAGAGAAAGTGCAGCCACGTGCGCGATTGCCAAGTAGGAAGAGTATGGGGATGGAATCGCACACTACCTTGCCGAGCGAGAGATGGGATTGTTCTGGCGGACGGGCGGAGCTGGTAGCCCCATCGTATTCATAATGTCCTGTATAACTGTCTCAGTCATGGGGACAGTCGAGTGTGATGGTGGCGGTCGGGTAGTTCGCACTGGGACTGAAACGGGGCGACGGACTTGGCGGGTTCGTGACCTCCGCTGGTAAACCAAGGACGGCATATAGAGCCGGACAAAGACCAAGCGAGTTAATCCTCGCCAACGAGACAAAGGACCCGAAATTTACCATCTCTGGATTCGGTCGAGACTAAACAAAGAGCTTATTGCCTGGGTTGGCGCCATGGCTTCCGTGCCTGAGGACTGCGCAAATTCCAAACCGGAGTTAACGAATTGACTTTATCCTTGACAAACAATCTGCACCTTATATCGGTGATATTCGTGACGTGATAGAGCAGTTGGCTCGACGCCAGAGTTGATGACGCGGAGCAGGGGCGCCCATCCCGACCTACACTCACGCACCCTAGAATCACAATATGGGGCCGCTCTGCCCTCGCTTCGCCCACTAGTTAGGGAAGCCGTTTTCTAGATCTCCGTTGCCCAGTTAAGCCACTCGAAAAATACGAGAGTCGAGTTTGGTGGCTGCAGGTCTTGGCTCACGCTCGAACTTTGCCGAGAAAGAGCTGGAGCATCATGATTGGAATGGCGCATCGCGTTGTAACGGCCGGGCTTAACTGGACTCGACCAGCCGTTCCCCGCAGTGACATTGACTGGTTCACCGGCATGGATACTAGTGGCTAAGACTTGAACGGAACTTAGTAGCGAGGGAGGATGAATCTTTCTCAGTCGGGATCTATTTATGAGCGGACTGCTGCTCACGCCCAGCCTTGATGGGTCCCCAATGATTTACTGAACCGCATTGACGGACCCGGAGCAAGTTCGGTGCACCCAAATAGTTGAGATGGCGATCAAGTATTCATCACTCGCCCTGGTGGCCATGACTGCCTTCATGTAGGTGAACCATGATGATGTGAACCTACCTCCATGAATGGGCAACTGACGACTAGCAATGCCATATTAGCCGGCCGGCAATGAGCTCACCTGTTTGCTCAGAGGTATCGTCGAGCCACCCAGCATCGTCCAGCACGCCGCCCGCAACGACCACAACATCAGGGGGATTGCCTTCCTCATGCACTTACAGGCCGCAAGCTACGACATACACCAACGAGGGATGCGCCTTTACGTGCCCGCCACAATCAGCGTGGTGCATTGCTGATGGTCTGCCGCACTATCTTCCCCAATTCGCTGCCCTATGGCTCCTAGTTGTGTCACTAACACCCGGACCAGCGTATGTCGTCCTCCCCTGCGGCTGTGACCGCGCCGCAGTCGCCCCAACGACTATCAGCCGGTGTCCGACAGCGAGCTACAACTGCTTACAATGCTCGACGGGTTGGGGTATTGCAACTGTGACCGACCCTAACTGCCCGCCGTCCTCGACTGCGACTGCGAAGCCCACACGGGCTTGAAAGACACCCGGAAGCTTGGTCATTGACTGCTAGGCGGTCATGGGGCGGAGGATTGTATGCCCCGGGGTTGTGGGTTGGACAGTCGCCGCACGTCCTGGGGTTTGGCGAAATCATCCTGTACCGTCAGCAATAAATCTGATCGACGTAAACCGTTCGTTCCCTGAGTATCTCCGTACTGCCTTGCTCACCGGGGTCCGCCGGCAGCGGCCCCATGCGCTTTTGACTCGTGCTCACTTCTATGTTGCCTCCCGTACGGATGTTGCTGATCTCACTCCAACGGGGCGTTTGCTCGACCTGGAAATCTGACCGCAATGTACGATGAGCCTGACGGGTGAGTGGTCTTCTAGAAGGCGGGGTTACTAGGCGGGGTATGACCGCGTACGAAATCCGTGTTGGACGAGAACTGAACCGCATGCGTCGACAATTGGCATAGGAAGAAAGCAAGACCTGCTTGTCTCTTGCCTTGAGTGAACCCGATGAAGTCCATTCCCAACAGGCTCTTGCTCAACATATATCGTCGAGGAGTCGGCAAGACCCCACCAAGCTAGTGGTCTGGCCACAATAATACGAGGAGGCAACTGGCAGGAGCATTGGAGAAAAAAGGGTTAGATCTCAACATCTGCACGAGCTGGCGCTGGTAAACAGAGCGATTGAGCGGACGCTCCATGCTGGATGGGAATAAATCTCTTCCACTGGGAAAAGAAAGAAAGAAAGAGAAAGGAGAACAAAAAACATAAGAGAAAAAGGGGGAAAAAGAGAATCAAAAACAAGAGCAAAGAGAAAGAAAGAAAGAAAGAGCCCCGGTGCTCGGGACCACCTTAAATGGATGTTAGTTTTGTGGCTGATTTAATGGGCGACGCGCTTCATCGCGTGCTGGTCGCGATGACAGGGGAGAAGGCGTGTGGGGGTCTGCCTCTTGTCCTATTGGTTACAGGAGCTCTCAAAGTCTCTTTTGGGAAAGGCCGACAGGGGCTGCCCAGCGGATATTTCTTTTCCCCTGACATGTTTCGGCTCTGCTTGACATCTTTTCAACTCAGTCTCCGACAAGCCACTTTGCAACTTTCCCAGCGACCGTTGCTGGACGCGATGCTTGAAACGCGAATGGTCCTTTGCTTCGCCAATTCCTTGCCGTTTCATTAGATAATTGCACCGACCTTTCTGTTTGTTACCCGTCTGCTTGCAATTTGACTGGTCGGGTCCTTATGCTGCGGTCAAACTCGGGACGGTGTGCGACGAATAAACCCATAAACCGGGCGGCTGCGAATTCTGCTTTAGGCCCGGTGACGTTGTGAACCCTCCAAGCTGTTAAGCTCGGATATTTGGTTAGATGCCTGCAGTGTGTGTACATACCACAAACAGGATGTTGCCTCACAGTGCCAGGGACAGCGATCAACATCGTCGCAACACGCGTCGTACCAGTTTTCGAGGACACCCTCGCGGTCCGCAAAAAAGCTTCGAACCGATGTTCTGTGGAGCTCTCACGTTGCTTCCGAGCCTTACGAGCCGCTTCCCTGGTGAAAGGCTTACGAAACAAGACCTGAAGCAGGGTGTCGGGTTCCTGGTGCCGTCCTTGGATCTTTTTTGGTATCAACCGCGGTGACTGACACAAGTTTCCTTACCATCCACCGAGACCGCTGGATGGGCGCCCATCTGCCGCTAGCGCCCGTTGCCGGACCTGAGGCTCGGACTAATACTATTTCCAGTTATACTACCACTTAGGTGCTGGGTCCATCTCGATGCCACATACCGACGGAGCGGGGGCGCGGAGCCTCTCCCGGACATCACCGGGCTGAGCCGTCTGCTTTGTGCGTCCTCAGTCCGTGGATAGGCACCAGTGCAGCCCCCATATTCCAAAATGTGGGATGTGCGATTTCATGGGGTGGCTCGCTCGGGGCCCCGGATAACAACAACTTCTCCCCCAGGCCTCCGAACCTGGAGTATCGGGAATACTGTAGCAGTCGGGTGACCGAGTTACACGATGCATGTGGGCGTTGTGGAGGGGGTCATGGGAGCCATGTTGGATACGCAGGGTTGATATGTTTGGAAACTCCGTTGCGGCCCACCGAGACGGGGCCGCAAAAGGTCTCCGCCCGTTCCGGCGCGAACGGACCGAATAACGTCACTCCACTCAGTTGCGAACATGACGTTGGCTTGGGCAACACTCTTGAGTGGAAGCACCGTGGTGGTGTAAATCCACGGTGCAGTGCTCCAACAACGGCACCTCCCAGGCAAAGGGTTGACCCTCACAAGGTCCGTGAGTGATGGAAGGCACGACGATGGTCTCGGAACCTCCACTTTCGGCAGGGCCGGTCCCTAGGAAACTGCTCTTGACCTCGTCCTTCTACTCTTGACCCCTTTCCACTCCATGGGGCCCCTCGTCTTCCGCTCCTTCCTCTCCATGTTACAGACTGCAGCTGATCTGATCCAAGAAATTTTTATTGAACGGACCCCGTCGTGGGCCCCTCGTCTACCCCGCCAGTTTGACTAAAATATCATCAGGCCTTCAGCTTTCATCTGACCTTTTCCTTTATTTACAGATCAACTTGTCACATTTTTGTCCTGTGAAGAAACCTCCCCTGGCCTGTTGACCAACCTGGGATTCAAGATCTCTCCAACGACTTGTGAATCAAGAAAACAAACATGGCGTTCAAGCGTTACCATAAAGGCTCGGCAGAACATGGCCCGCCCAAAATAGAAACCCCGTCGGCGGCGGCCATTGCCGCCGAGCAACAGAAGATCACGGCGCTCGCCATATTCCTCGGCGCGGTTGCCAGTATTGGCGGTTTCATGTTCGGATATGTCAGGTATGAGATCAGTGCACTACCTGCCTGGTCACCCGGTGGGCTTGTGAATTGAATTCACACTGACATAGACTTTAGTGGTCAAATTTCGGGCTTTTTCGATATGGAGGACTATGGCATCCGCTTCGGCGAGCACAACCCCGTCACTGGAGCGTACGATTTCAGCGCACCTCGCCAGGGTGCCATTGTCGGTCTCCTCCCAGCCGGTTGTCTCTTTGGTTCTCTGATTGCCGGGAACATTGCGGACTCTCTAGGTCGCCGCATGGCCATCTCTGTGTCTGCGCTGTTCTGCTGTGTTGGCAACATCATCGAAATCTCATCCCAGTCCTCGTGGGCCCAATTCGCAGTTGGCCGCTTGGTTACCGGTCTCGGCATTGGTTCACTCTCGGTCGCCGTTCCCATGTACCAGTCTGAGTCGAGTCCCGCCATCCTCCGCGGCGTCCTGATTTCCACTTACCAGCTCTTCATCACTTTGGGCATCTGGACCGCCGAGATGATCAACTATGGAACCCACAACATGTCGGGCTCTGCGTCGTGGCGCATCCCCAACGGCCTGTCTTTCCTATGGTCCTTGATCCTTGGCGCCGGTATCCTTCTTCTTCCCGAGTCTCCCCGCTACGCTTACCGCAAAGGCCGTGAGGACGAGGCTCGCCAGACCATCGCCCGCCTAGCTGGTCTCGATTCCAACTCGCCATCGGTCAACCAACAAATCGACGACATTCGCCAGAAGCTTGATGAAGAACAGGCCGGCGCAACGACGAGCTGGTACGAAATCTTCACGGGCCCTCGCATGCTGTATCGGACTCTGCTGGGTATTACGCTTCAGGTGAGCCTCCATTCTTTTGTTTTCTTTGGCGATCTTACAGCCGCTAACCGCATCCTAGGCCGGTCAACAACTCACGGGCGCCAACTTCTTTTTCTACTACGGAACCACCATTTTTAGGGCCACTGGCCTTAGCGACAGCTATGTGACCCAGATTATACTCGGGTCCGTGAACGTCTTCTGCACATTTGGTGGACTGTACGTTGTCAAGAAGTGTGGCCGGCGGAACGCGCTCATGGCTGGTGCTCTCTGGATGATGGTTTGCTTCTTGGTCTATTCCTTTGTCGGACACTTTAAGCTCGACCCTGTGAACCCCGCCAACACGCCCGCGGCCGGGAACGTCCTCATTGTTTTCTCCTGCCTATTCATCGTCGCCTTCGCCACCACTTGGGGTCCTCTAGTCTGGGCTGTCGTCGCCGAGCTTTACCCCGCCAAGTACCGCGCCCCAGCAATGGCACTTGCCACTGCGAGCAACTGGTTGTGGAACTTCCTGATGAGCTTCTTTACCCGCTTCATCACGGATTCTATTGGCTACCTCTACGGGTTGGTCTTTGCGGGTTGTTGTGCGGTGCTTGTCCTGGTTGTGTTTTTCTTTCTCATTGAAAGCAAGGACCGCAGCCTGGAGGAGATCGACACGATGTACTTGCTACATGTGGGCCCGATTCGGAGCAGCAAGTGGGAGGATGGGGAGATGTCGAACAGCGCTGGGTCTAGTGAACTTCAATCACGGCAGCAGTCACCAAACGGCAAGGGACAGATCCGCAATCCTTGAACATGTATGTTGTTTATTCTTTCCCCTGGAAAGTGGCCCAGTGCATTGAAATAGCTGGCATGGCGTCACGGAGCTTGTGTATTGTGCTACATCTCTTACTACGACTGGTGTGGTCTTGGGCCCGGGGCCTCTGGCTTCGAACGGGTTGTCGGTTGGTGAATACGGGAGTGAGGTGGGGTGGGGTGGGACATTGTTACTTTTAACTCGCTGTGGGACCTGGCCATTCTCGGCACTTTGTGTATTTGAACGTCTGTTGCCTCAGGCAAAAGTGTATTTATATCATGATACCAGTAGCTACTCCAAGGAGCGGTAGCTTACTCAGTGGTATCCTAAGAGGCAATCGATGCTTTTATGTCTCAACCTCCCGTTTGATGTTGACATTCAAAAGGTTGAGAAAAGTTTGCGGCATCTCAATATCTCCGAGCGCCAAGCCCAGTGTAACGCTAGCATTCGGCCCAGGGCGAGATCCAGAGCCGCGACGAAGAGCCGGGCCCACTGGGCGATCAGGGTAAGGGGCCAAAAATTATCTTTAAAAAAGGCGCAGAGCGCGGTGACACCGGAGTCCTGCCGAGCTGGGCTCGCACTGCTCGTTCATACCACGGATTCATAAACTCCCAGGGCCTGGGCGGGTCTGGGAAAAACCTGGAACCTAGCAGCAGAAGCCGAGCCCGCCCGAGACAGGGGTTCCATCCATAGCTGAGTGGGCGGAAGTGGGTGTGGCAACGTCAGTCGTATCATCGAGGTGAATTTTTTTTCTCCGCTTATCATTTTGGACCCTCTCGCGTTTTGTTGATCGAGCGAGTTTTTCGTATTTTTTTTTACTACGTATCCCGGGGAGCATTGATGTGAGTTCGTGTGTCGTTGTATTCGTAAAAGGGTGTCAAGGAAACCTGAATACATAAAACCGTACCATGCAACAACAGATGAACTTGGATGAGGCCAAGCATAGATGGTGTTGTTGAAACCGGAAGGTACCTGGGAACTGACCACGAACGGGCAGATACTTAGGATGGAAATTGAAAAGCCGGGCGGTTGAAGATATGGAGCTTATCAGTTACATGTTAGTATGCATCATTTGTTTTTCTTCGTTCGTTTGTCATCACCGACTTCCGCCCCCTGTTGTAATGTACAGTTATAGCCCCGGGCCCGGCCGATGGAGTGGCGGGTGGACGGGATGGCGCGGCTTGCATTTCCATCTCTGGTATCTGGTTTTTTTGGAGGTCCCTCCCTGCCCATTTTCCTGTTATGTATGGATGATAGAAACAGAAGCTGGTCTGGGCTGGCGAGGCTGGGTGGGCTTGGCTTGACTTGGCTTGGATTTGTTTGGGTTTCGGCTTTCAGCGGCTTGGGACGAGGGGTGAATATGGGATGGCGATTTTTGGGGGGATTTTTTTTTTACCCGCTCTCAAGCTGGAGTGGTGCACCTGGACGCCTGGACACCTGGAGAAAATTTTGAGGTTGCCATGGGTGTTTAGGCTGTTGGTATCGAGGTTAGTCAATGGGCGAGAGTAGATGGGCATTTGGTGGTCTGGACGGTAAAGTTTTTGTGCCCCATTTTGTTTATAGTCGAGCCCGCAGTGTTTATGCCCATGAGCTTGCCGTCCTCATCATCCATTTGTAGTTTTCCTCCTCTTTTACGAATTGCCGAAGGCCAAAACACGCTCGGGGATCTATCGATTCCTATCGACAAGACCTCCATCGCTCAGAACCTTACTTTGTTGGCCAGACCTTTACTTTATTGCTCAGAACTTTGGCCCTTTATCCACACTCGACCCACTCCGAGGCTGTGGAAGAAAAGGAGACGCCCGCCCACGATTTCTTTGGCAGGTCTCATCTGTGTCGCGAGCCGAACTTCCAGAGTTGGGCAATTTGGATATATCGGATACCTCTGTTTATGAGTGAGCTGCCGGGCTTGGGTTCGATCTCACGTCATAGTATTGTTCTTCGTTGTCAAGAATCAACACCCGTTACAGCATCTTGTGGTTATCAATACTGTTTGTGGGAGGTCCCTGAAGCCGGAGATTCGAAACCTCCACCGACGAGAACCGAACTGGGGTATCCACTCGAGATCGACTAACTGGTTTTTTTTCCCGCTCAAGCTCTGACTCCCATTTATCGTGGGAGAGTGAGAGAAGGGTTGGATTTGTGAGACGGACGGCCACACGCACACACACGCGCATCCCTGGATGGTCGTCTCCGTGGGTATTCTCGGCTGCTGCTCCGTTGTGCCTTCCCTGGGAATATAGTCTGACTCAGCCGGTGCCCGATCTTCTGGCTGTTTTCCGGAGGGTTGACCTCTTGAGAATATTCTGGTGGTGACTGGCCGGGTAGTGCGCCAGAACCCCCCTCAGTGCGTCACTTGATCCTCGAGTTTGAACGAGTTCGCCTACCCCATACACACGGTTATTTCGAAGGTACAGTATCACCGAGCTAGACCGACGACAACGACAACGAGTTAAAGGCCATGGGGGCCACCGGAATCTCGGGGGACTTCTCGTCCTCCGGGGAGGATGTTGGTGGTATTAGGAACAAGGCAGGCCGTAACGTCGGCAGCGGCGGCATGTCCATCGGCGCCGGCGCTAAGGAGGTAGGGGGTGAAAAGGACTTCGCCGGTGTCAGAACAATTCCGAATGGGAAGGGCGACAACCCCAACAGTGACGCCGATTCTGCGCAACAAGGCGAACTACAGCGCCAGCTATCGGGTCGGCATCTCAACTTCATCGCCATCGGTGGCACGATCGGAACGGGATTCTTTCTCGGGACGGGAACGGCGCTGGTCAAGGCCGGGCCGGCCGGGTGTCTGATTTCGTATATCTTTGTCGGGACGATTCTGTGGTCGGTCATGGTGTGTCTGGGTGAACTAGCGACGTACATCCCGACAGCAGGGGCGTTTTCGGCGTATGCGACGCGGTTTGTGGATTCGAGCTTGGGGTTTGCGGTCGGGTGGCTCTACTGGTTCGGCTGTGAGTCCCTTGCGTGCTTTTCGAGACCATGTTCTGTGGTCGTGATAAGTTTTTATCACCTTATTTTCTGAGTAGGAGCTAATGATGCGTGTCCAGGGGCCGTCACTTACGCCTTATCACTCGTCGCAGCCGGTCTAATTATCCAGTACTGGAAAGCGGATATCAACATCGGCATTCTGATCGCTGTTTTCTGGGTCGTTTTCACGGTCGTCAACTACCTACCCGTCGGCATATACGGCGAGCTCGAGATGTGGCTGTCCAGTCTCAAGGTCATTACCATCGTCGGCTTCATCATCTTTGCCATCTGCATCGCGGCCGGCGCCGGCCAGGAAGGCGTCATCGGGTTCAAGTACTGGAATCACCCCGGCGCCTTCAACGAGTACCTCGTCCCTGGAGATGTGGGTCAGTTCGTTGGCTTCTGGGCCGTGCTGATCCAGGCGTCGGTATCCTACCAGGGCGCGGAGTTGGTCGGTGTTGGCGCCGGCGAGGCCCGCGACCCTCGCAAGACGGTCCCGCAAGCCATCCGCGTCACGTACTGGGGCATCATGTCCTTGTTTGTCACCACCATGCTGCTCATCACCATGGTCGTGCCCTCATCCGACAAGAACCTGCTCAACGACTCCGGCAATGCGTCGGCTTCCCCGCTCGTTATCGCCGCCCATCGCGCCGGCGTCAAAGTACTCCCGGACATCATCAACGCCGTGCTGCTCACCGCCGTGCTCTCCGCGGCCAACTCCAACGTCTACTCCGGCTCGCGCGTCCTGCTGGCCCTGGCCGAGGAAGGACAGGCCCCGGCCATCTTCAAAAAGACCAACCGCCACGGCATCCCCGTGTACGCAGTCGCCGGCACCGCGGTCTTTGGGCTCTTGGGCTTCCTCAACCTCTCCTCAGACGGCGGGAAGGTCTTTAACTGGCTGCTCAATATTACTGGTGTCGCAGGCTTGACCACTTGGGCCAGCACCTGCCTCTCCCACCTGGCTTTCATGCGCGCCCTGAAAGCCCAGGGCATTTCGCGCTCGGAGTTGCCATACATCTCGCGATTCCAGCCGTACACAGCCGTGTATGGACTGTTCTTTAACGTGCTGATCATGCTGACGCAAGGGTTTACCGCGTTTATCAACTGGAACGTCAGTGACTTTTTTGCGGCGTATATTAGCTTGATCTTGTTTGTCGTGTTGTGGGCGGGTCACAAGTTGTGGTATCGCCAGCCGATGGTTGATCCGAGGACGGCGGATCTGGCAAGGGGGCGGTATGACTTGAACGAGGAGCGGTCGGCTGCTGATGGGGGTGTTTGAGTACTACCTATGTTGCTTTTGGTTTTGTTTGTGTGTACGAAATAATGGGGCGGGGAAAAGGGGAGTAATGAGAAACCTGTGCGAGTGGGAGCAAGGGGGATACGTTATTGTTATACGACTGCATGCATCATAGCCATATAAATTACCTGTACTGTTTCTACCTTTTTCGGTTCGATCAATCAACCAAACCTGAGATCACACCTAGGCTCCTTGACTAGATAACCATGTTCCAGCTCACCTTCTTCCCCCTCATCATCGCCAGCACTCCAACTGGCAAGAACTGCTTATCCACTAGGTTCAGCCCGTCAAAGTCCGCCAGGAGGTCCTTGGCATACAGCTGCAAGAACCACTTCTTCTCCGCGTCGAGGCGCACACTGTCAGCGGATAAAAATGCCCTCAGCGCGCTCTCGACTTCCTTGCTCAGCGCAATCTCCTCCCGGTCGGGCACGACGATGAGCTTGTTGAAGGTAACCATGAACGCGCCGCTTGTCGACTCGCGGAAACGCGAATACTCTTCTAGCGAGAAAAACTCGCCCGTGTAGGCATCTATGACGGTCTGATCGGGGGAGACGCCGGTGCTGCGGCGAATGATTCTGGAGAGACGTTCACTTAGGTCGGCTTTGCTTGTCTTTTCGAAGAAAGCCTTGGCGGCGAGATACCGAGTTCGCTCGTCGTCGAGGAACTCATCGAGTATGTCTTTGGGGCTTTGGGTGATGTTGTTGCGGACGAGAAATAGTCCGACAAAGGGGTTGCGGAGGCCCAGACCGCCGAGCTGTTCGGGGAGATGGATGAAGGCATCGGGCAGGTTGGAGACCCCGAAGCGGTCCTGTATCATTTGTTTGACTGGTAGAGTGCCGGATAGTTAGCAATGGAAGGTTGTATGGGGATTACGTGACCTCTCTCTCTCTCTGTGTGCTGTCCACCAACTTACCATACTCAACGACGCCTGTTTCTTTGCCGTCCGAGACAGGAAACAGCCTATCCAGAATGCTTTGGTACGTATCCAGAACGTCATTGACATGCTCACGGCCAAAACAGTGCGCCGGTTCGCCAAACGTATGACTGAAGAAGCGTCCCATGCAGCTATTCCACGTCTGGACCCATGAGAGCACACTTTTGGACTCAGCGAGCTGCGTTTTCAGCTGGTCAACGTGCGCCATGACTAGCTTCTGATCAATCCCCCACTTCCCGGTCTTTGGGTCGAGACACAGGAAGCCGATCCTCACTGGCCCGGCTGGCAGGATGTTGACGATGCTAAGATTCCGCGGCGAAGCACCGGGTAGGTAGACAGAACCGGTTTTGGCCCTGTTGAAGTCAAGCCCGAAGACGCGGGCAAAAGACTGCATGCAGTCCCAGGCCTGGGCAGCCCGGCTGGGCTCGCCGACCAACCAGATATCGTCGTGTAGTCGGTACAGAAAGATGCCGGTCTGCCGGTTGACGACAAAGTCCAGCAAGAAAAGCACGATCTCCCCAGTCAACTTCTCCGAGGAGTGTGCCATAGGCACCCCACGCTTGCGGATACGTGGGCCGAGCTGTGGGCGATCGTCTGAGGCCCTGTCGAGGTTGAGCGGCGACTCGAGATAAGTCTTGAAAAAGGCGATCCAGTCCTCGCCGAAGCCGAGGTAGCGCATGGCTGCGAAGACTGTGCTATGCGGGAGCCCTGTGGCGAACCACTGCAGGTCTGTCTGGACTAGCGCGACGGCGCCTCCGGGCTGCGTCTTGTTGTCGTATGTGATGCCCCGGAGCTGGTGAACTGCTAGCTCGGCGGTGAGTTGGCGTAGGAGCTGCTGTTTGATGCCGGAACGTTTCTGCGGCGATGCGGTCGCGTCTTCACCCCCGCCACGCCCATCATAACTGCTCGTCGTGCTGTTATCGTCGTCGTCGTCGTAGTTGTTGTCTCCGTCGAAAAGAGAGGTCTCGGTGGTGGGCAGCTGGGAGAGGAAGAACTTGTCAAAGTAGTCGGATACGCGTTGCGATCTGACATTGGACACGCTGTTCTGGATGATCGACCCACTGAAGAAGGCATACCGATCTCGGTCTGCCTGACCAGGCTCTATGTTGCCATCTCGGTCCCGCGAGTACATGGTATCCATGAAATCTTTCAGCAGTGGCTTGATCATGTTGCATAGACGGATACCAATGTGCTGGACAAAGATCATCTGCAGGATGTCGTCGTCCGCCCACACACGGTATTTACCGTTGAGGCCACGGCGCGGCATCACGCGGATGCCCTCCTCACCGGCGTCCCACTGCCAATGTTTCAAATCGGAGAAGCGCATGTTCAGCACGTCGGCAATCTCGGACTTGGCAATGTCGTTGTCCAAAAAGTCGCGCAGGATGGCTTGTTTCTCATCGCTGAGAATGTCCTCTGTCAGAAGCCCCTTGATGCAGCTGGTCAAGGATTCCTTCGTGAAGGGGGTGGTCTCGTGCATGAAGTCGGCACCCGCCGTGCCAACTTTTTCGCGCAATGATTTCAGCCGTTTCTGGTCCTCTTCACTTGGTAACGTGCGGTCGATGAAGCGGTGCATTTCCGACTCGTCTGTCTCGAGTGGCTGGAACACAACCGATTCGAACTTGTCGACGAGCTCGCTGAGCCGCTGGCGCTGGCGTTCTGCAACAAGCTCAAACGAATCGCCATCCACATCGTCTGTCGCCGCCGACTGTGACTCGACAACGGGTTGGTCCATCCATTCTGCGTGGGAGGGGGGTCACTGTCAGGGATCAGAGCACACCGGAGCATCATGGAACACGGGAGGGCCACACGATAAGGCAATAAGGGTGGCTTACCGGTCAAAAGCCTTGAATACAGATGCGCCATGTCAAGCTTGCGGCTTTGGATATCGAGTTTGGCACGAAGCTGGCCGCTGAACTCATCTAGCTTGGAAACTGGGACGGAAGCATCGTAGCGTGACTGGTCTAGCCAGCGGCGAATGTTGTCGAGATTGGTGTCGTTGACGGCAGGAGGATAGAGCGCCTTGACGGCGCCGAGGAGAAGAGATAGGCGGTCCCTCGCATCCGAGGCGGCGTCGACTTTGTCAAGATGCTCGCGCTTGTGGTTTTCATATGACTTGCGGCGGGACTCGAGCTCGCGGATCTTACTGAGGGTGATGCTTTGGAGCGTCTTAGACAGGACGGAGGTGGGCGACGCCATGTTGAATTCAACTCAATATGGTATAAGAATTGGTGAGCGGCGGTCTGGAAAGCAGTGGCTCTGGTTCACGAACAATTCCTGGGATCAAGCCCAGTCTTTTAACTACCAACCATGGCCAATACCCCTTGCCAAAGCCCCCCAATGACCTCGCCATCTCTGACATTTGAGGGGTTGTGATGTGTCACACACTCACACGCTCTTTCAGCTCCAGGCAGGTTGGCCATCGGGATGGTGTTAATTGTGCTGTGGGCTGGTGAAGAGGTGCATTGTTTGGCCGAAACGGGAAAGTGGCGTGTCGGGTGCCTGTTGGTCTTGGCGATCAGTGGGTCGCCGCACTGGTTGAAGCGGCCTCATCTTTCGCATTCCTCGCAAAGCTTCCCACGTTGTGATTGTGTATGAAGAAGGAAGGAATATGGTGATGGATTGATGAAAGGTCCTCCGTAGCGTAGCTCGAAACACCGGCACCCGCTGTCGAAAAAAAGTCCCGAGCCAGTCGGCGGTCAACCCATCTCGAGTTAGAGTCGAGCCATTCGCCCCGCCGAAAAGGATATCTCAGATGCCGTTTTATATCGCTCAGGTAGCATAAAAGGAGCGACGTGAACCTTCACAGGCTTTCGTAAGAGAGGTCTGGCCTCATTTCTCTTTGTTGTTTGGATGAATTCAGGTTCAGAGTGCTGGCGGATTATGTCAGCGGGGAGGCTTCCTTATCTCCTGACTTACTATGTAGGTATCCCCCACCCAGCCCTGAAAGCCTGCCTGCCAGCTGTCAAAGTATGCACGGACTCTATCGCAGGCTCAATTTGTGGGGCTCCGACAGCGGCTTCCCGTTTTTGCATTCTTCCACCCCGGTAATCACTAGTCCTGCACTGTGTACACGAGCCAAGCCGTACGAAGTACGAATAGAGGGTGCGGGTACTAGGTCAAGGCCATTGACAACAAAGTTCCTAGCAGGTACGGTTCTTGCGGGAATATTTCAATCGCTTCTTGTAGAGTGGTCATGCTGCTGTTTTGGGCCCGTTGAAATCTGTCGCTTGTGCATGGAGACCTTGTAAAAGCGAGACCAGGGATCGTGAACTGTACAGAGTAATTCGAAGCCGTCCCCCCTAGACTCATGCTTTTTCTATGTGTATGTATTTTCTTCCACCAAGGGCTCCCCGAATGCATGTCCAAATAAACGGCACCGAGGGGCACAATAATTATCCCGATAGTCTTGGGATAAGCACTTGGGCTTGTCAACCGGATTCTTAGTCCGCTGTGTCATCCGCAAATGCAACAAATTGTTGTACCTTACTGTACGTGTTACGGCGCAGCGCTGGGTCCCCGCTTAAGTGTTTTTCCACTCACCGCGGGGTGTGTTGTGCATTTGGCTGCGGATTACTTCGTACTTTTAGCAGCCCCGCAACCCCGAGTTTCTCACAAACTCCCCACCTCAGAACATTATTCCATATTCGCAAGACTTCAACACCAAAAGAGCGGCTGCAGCGACCGCAGCGCCCTGCTTGCCCAAACCCCCATCGCTTCAAGGCGCAAGTCGGGCCCAATTGAGCCCGCTTCCCCCAGCCCGACAGTCTGACAGCAACCATGGCGTCTTCTAGCGACGCGGGCCCCACGCGCATCGCTATTTTGGGCAACGAAGACATTGTCGTCGACCACGGCATCTGGCTCAATTTTGTGACTCACGACCTGCTACAGAACATTCCGTCGTCTACCTATGTCCTAATCACCGACACCAACCTGTTCCAAACCTACGTGCCGCCGTTCCAGGCCGTCTTCGACCAGCATGCACCCAAAGATGCCCGTCTACTCACGTACGCCATCCCCCCCGGCGAGTTCTCCAAGGGCCGCGCCACCAAAGCCGAGATCGAGGATTGGATGCTGTCGCATGCATGCACCCGTGACACCGTTGTCATCGCCCTTGGCGGCGGCGTTATTGGCGACATGATCGGCTACGTGGCGGCCACCTTCATGCGCGGCGTGCGCTTCGTCCAGGTCCCAACAACTCTGCTCGCCATGGTCGACTCCTCCATTGGCGGCAAAACAGCTATCGACGTGCCCATGGGCAAGAACCTGATCGGTGCCTTCTGGCAGCCCAAGCGCATCTACATCGATCTCGCTTTCCTCGAGACCCTACCCGTGCGCGAGTTCATCAATGGCATGGCCGAGGTCATCAAGACCGCCGCTATCTGGAATGAGGCCGAGTTCACGGCCCTGGAAGAAAATGCCCCTGCCATCCTCGAGGCTATCCGAACCAAGGGCACAAGCCCTTCTGCCCGCCTCGCCCCGATCCGTCACATCCTCAAGCGTATCGTGATCGGCTCGGCTGGCGTCAAGGCCGAGGTCGTCTCGGCTGACGAACGAGAAGGCGGCCTGCGCAACCTCCTCAACTTCGGCCATTCCATCGGCCACGCATACGAAGCCATCCTTGCGCCCCAAGTGCTCCATGGAGAGTGTGTTGCCATTGGCATGGTCAAGGAGGCCGAACTGGCTCGCTTCCTCGGTGTCTTGCGCCCTGGCGCCGTGGCTCGCTTGACCAAGTGCATCGCAAGCTACGACCTCCCCACCTCGGTACACGACAAGCGCGTCGCTAAGCTGTCCGCCAACAAGGAGTGCCCGATCGACGTGCTGTTGCAAAAGATGGCGGTAGATAAGAAAAACGAGGGCCGTAAAAAGAAGATTGTCTTGCTCTCTGCCATTGGCAAGACCTACGAGCCCAAGGCGACCGTAGTGGAGGACCGTGCCATCCGCGTTGTCCTATCGCCCTCTATCCGCGTCACCCCCGGTGTTCCAAGCGACCTCGCCGTGAGCGTGACACCGCCAGGCTCCAAGAGTATCTCCAACCGCGCACTGATCCTGGCTGCCCTCGGTGAAGGCACCACTCGCATCCATGGCCTGCTGCACTCGGACGATACCCAGTACATGCTCACGGCTATTGCCCAGCTCCAGGGCGCCACCTACTCCTGGGAGGATGCCGGGGAGGTCCTCGTCGTCACAGGCAAGGGCGGTAAGCTGCAAGCCAGCGGCGAGCCTCTATACCTGGGCAATGCGGGCACGGCTTCGCGTTTCCTCACATCCGTCGTGGCGCTTTGCTCGCCGACGACAGTTTCTTCGACTGTTCTGACGGGCAATGCGCGGATGAAGGTACGCCCCATTGGTCCGCTTGTTGATGCCCTTCGCGCCAACGGCGTGGACGTCAAATACCTCGAGAAGGAGAAGAGCCTGCCCGTTCAGGTGGACGCCAACGCCGGCTTTGCGGGTGGGGTGATCGAGCTGGCCGCCACAGTTTCGTCGCAGTACGTCTCGTCCATTCTAATGGCCGCTCCCTACGCCCACAAACCCGTCACTCTCCGACTCGTCGGCGGCAAGCCCATTTCGCAGCCGTACATCGACATGACCATCGCCATGATGGCTACGTTCGGCATCAAGGCCGAGAGGTCCACCGAGGACCCCAATACCTACCACATCCCTCAGGGCGTCTACCAGAACCCAGCCGAGTACGTCATTGAGAGCGACGCCAGCTCGGCGACCTACCCATTGGCTGTCGCGGCCATCACCGGTACCACCTGCACCATCCCCAACATTGGCTCCGCGTCTCTCCAGGGCGATGCCCGTTTCGCCATCGAAGTGCTGCGGCCCATGGGCTGCACGGTCGAGCAGACCGCCACCTCGACCACCGTCACCGGCCCGCCCATCGGAACGCTCCAGGCCATCAAACATGTCGACATGGAACCCATGACGGACGCTTTCCTGACCGCGTCAGTCCTGGCCGCTGTGGCCTCCGGGACGACTCAGATCACAGGCATTGCCAACCAACGGGTCAAGGAGTGTAACCGCATCGCGGCGATGAGGATACAGCTGGCCAAGTTTGGCGTGCACTGCAACGAGCTCGACGACGGCATTGAGGTGACTGGAAAGCCGTACAAGGAGCTGAAGGACTTCCCCGAGGGCGTCTACTGCTACGACGACCACCGCGTAGCCATGAGCTTCAGCGTCTTGTCTACCGTCGCACCACATCCGGTGCTCGTCCAAGAACGGGAATGCACTGGCAAGACCTGGCCCGGGTGGTGGGATATCCTGTCGCAGTCGTTCAAGGTGCAGCTCGCGGGTGAGGAGGACCCAATTAGCGACGCCCCGACCGAGTCGCCGTCCCGCGCGGGCACTGACCGATCCATTTTCGTGATCGGGATGCGCGGGGCTGGTAAGTCTACGGCTGGCCGGTGGATGTCGGAGATTTTGCAACGGCCCCTGATCGACCTGGACGTGGAGTTGGAGAGGCGAGAGAACACAACCATCCCGGAGATCATCCGCAGCGAGCGCGGCTGGGAAGGTTTCCGCAAGGCAGAGCTTGACCTCCTCCAGGACGTCATCCAGAACCAGCCCAAGGGCCACATCTTCTCTTGCGGTGGCGGGATCGTAGAGAGCGAAGAGGCTCGCAAGTTGCTCATCTCGTACCACAAGAACGGCGGCCCTGTTATCCTGGTGCACCGCGATACCGATCAGGTTGTCGAGTACCTCATGCGGGATAAGACCCGCCCGGCTTACTCAGAAAACATTCGGGAGGTGTACCTCCGCCGCAAGCCTTGGTTCGAGGAGTGCAGCAACTTCCAATACTACAGCCCCCACCTGGACGGCTCCGAGGTGCTGCGAGAGCCCCCAGCTGATTTCACCCGATTTCTGTCTGTCATCTGCGGCCGTTCAACCCAGCTGGATGACATCCACAAGAAGAAGCACTCGTTCTTCGTCTCGTTGACTGTTCCGGACGTGTCCGCCGCGCTGGATATTATCCCCAAAGCAGTCGTTGGGTCCGACGCCGTTGAACTGCGCGTGGATCTGCTAGAGAACTTCGACGCGGAGTTTGTGGCCCATCAAGTCGCTCTTCTACGATCGGCCGCCAAGGTCCCTATTGTCTTCACGGTCCGGACGGTTAGCCAGGGGGGTAAGTTCCCTGATGACAAGCCGCAGCAGGCTCACGAGCTTTACAACGTTGGCTTGCGCACCGGCGTGGAGTATCTCGACCTGGAGATGACGATGCCGGACGACATCATCGAGGCGGTGACCGCATCTAAGGGCCACACCTACATCATCGCGTCGCACCATGACCCGCAGGGCAAGCTGTCGTGGAAGAACGGGTCTTGGGTTCCCTTCTACAACAAGGCGCTGCGCTACGGAGACATCATCAAGCTTGTCGGCGTGGCGAGTGAGGTCAGCGACAACTTTGCGCTTACGAACTTCAAGACGCAGATGCTCGCCGCCCACAAGACACCGATTATCGCGCTGAACATGGGCCCCGCGGGCAAGCTGAGCCGGGTGCTCAACGGCTTCATGACGCCCGTCTCCCACCCGGAGCTACCGATCAAGGCCGCCCCGGGGCAGCTTTCGGCCACCGAGATCCGCCAGGGGCTGGCCCTGATCGGTGAGCTAGAGCCCCGGTCGTTCTACCTCTTCGGCAAGCCCATCAGCTCGTCGCGCTCGCCGGCGCTGCACAACGCGCTGTTTAGCGCGACTGGCTTGCCGCACGAGTACTCGAACTTCGAGACCGACAACGTCGCAGACGTGCAGGACCTCATCCGGGCCCCACACTTTGGCGGCGCCTCGGTCACCATCCCGCTCAAACTTGACATTGTGCCGCTCCTGGACGAGGTCTCGGCCGCAGCGCAGGCTATCGGTGCTGTTAATACCATCATCCCCGTCCCTTCTCCGTCAAGCGGGCCGGCTCGCCTCATCGGTGACAACACCGACTGGAAGGGCATGGTATTTGCCCTGCGCTCGGCCGGGCTTGTTGCCCAGCAGCGCTCCTCCTCCTCCTCGTCGGGCACCGGCCCCAACTCCAGCTCCGCCATGGTCATCGGCTCGGGCGGTACCACGCGTGCCGCCATCTACGCGCTCCACTCGCTAGGTTATGCACCCGTGTATGTCGTCGCGCGGACGCCGGACCGCGTGGCCGAGCTGTCGGCTGGGTTCCCCGCGGACTACCAGATCCAGTATCTAGCCTCGCCTGAGGAAACGGCCGCGATTGCGGCCCGGGGTGGGTTGCCGGGTGTCGTTGTGAGCACCATCCCCGCGGATAAGCCGATCGATCCGGTGATGCGGGAGGTGCTTGTTGCGGCGTTGCAGGGAGCGGGGGCCGGGAATGGTGGGGAGGAGCAGGAGACGAATACGAAGAAGGTGTTGTTGGAGATGGCGTATTCGCCGCGGCATACGCCTCTCATGCAACTGGCGGAGGACGCTGGGTGGGCGACGATCCCCGGGTTGGAGGTGCTTGCTGCACAGGGGTGGTATCAGGTATGCACCTTTTTTCCTTCTTCTTTTTCGGGCTTGCAACGACTTTTTCTAGACTAGTGCTAACGAGACTTTGTTGTTTTAGTTCCAAACCTGGACCGGGATCACGCCGCTGTATGGAGATGCGCAGACGGCGGTTATGGGGAAGGAGTCCTCGTGAGGGAAGACGAAGGCATGGGCGGAGCTTTTTTAGACAACACCATTACGATTAAATCCTAGAGAAGCATTATTGTTACAGCACTTGAGGTCCGCCACCTGTTATTTCGCTTCGTGAGAAGAGCTTGATGTTCACTCTCGTCCATTTGACTCTATCGCTCACTCCTAGAACACCTTTGTCTTTTTTATGCTGCCCATTCACACTTTTCCTGTTGATTTCAACACATGGTTGTCACGACGCATCCCTTTGAATAGTATCTAGAGTGTGCGGCGATTAGAGTTCATGATTGAACGCGCAGTATGCCCTATCGGGTTTCTCCCCTCTCTCCCTGCGTCTCCGTGTCCGTCTTAGTTTAACCTTATTGCCCCTATGGTGTTGTGACAACCCCCAATTTTCCGAGTAAATGGAACTGTGTAAACCTCCGCCACATCAAGGACGTGGGGTGGCTCGCACGATCAATGCCATCCCGGTGTGCCAGTTCAGATCTGAGGGACTCAGATAAAGTTCTGACAAAAGTCACCGATGCCCGGGGAACACCGAAGTGGGACTCGCAGGGTCCGGGGAAGGTGGTTTCGCAATTTGTTTCTTCGCTGACGGACGTGCACTACCAGATCTCTGAATGTACTGGAACTTTGGAGTGGACAAGATACAAGTGCCCGTATTGGTGGGGAGGTTGATTGTGAGGGTCTCACAGTGCGGGTGAGGGTTTAATCTGCAGAGAAAGTGCTAGAGATGTGTTTACGCACGGTATGATTACACTGTGTGACGCTGTGGGTTATATATGATCCGTATCTTTACGCTCGTATTCCCGAGACTCAAGCAAGATCATCATCAAGGATTTCCTTTTTCCTGTACCCTAGATGTGTACATACATAAATCGTCTCATCATCTACTTGAACGGCAGTTAACAAATACGCACAGGACTGTCCGTCATCCTGTTCTTAATTGACCATTCGGAGTCTCCGTTGTGGGATTGTGGTTGCGAGACAGGACGGAAAGGGAATCCTGAATCAGGTCGAAGCACGATGATGATGTGTGTACAGTACATACCTCGGCAGTTATTCGAGGATTATTCTTTTTACTTCTTCCCGTGGCATCAGCCGGAGCATGGGAATTCGGGATTTTCCCATGGCCCAACACGGTATTCTTGTCATGCAACCATCAGCTGCTCGAGGATGGCTGTGTTCATTGTTTAGGAGCGGCTTCCAATTACATGGTTTTATTGGTTGTGGTGTGTGGCATGTCATGACGCCACATGGCATGTCATGCAGCGTGGCTTAGGAGGTTAACAGGAGATGGGAACTGAAAGTGGTTCGAGGTGGTCTGGTGGTCTACTGAGCTACTCGTGTTTCTTGTGCGACTGCCTTATCGGCCGTTTCCTGTTCTGATCTGCCGGCGACGGGTGTCCGCAGACTCTTTGTGTCTCCGTCATAGAATTGAATATTTCCGGGCCTTGCAGAGTCTGCATAGCGGCAGTATCGTTCCCGAGCAGTAAAGCCAAGTACTCACTCTGCCCGAATCTAGATCAGCCCAATATCATGATACTACGAGAGCCCTCCAACTGGCCATTCGCGTTCTTAGACGAGATGAAATATGGCATCCCCATCCATCCATTATTACACAACTCGCCCTATCCTCCGACCCCACTATCCGTCACCACCCACACCATCCACGCCAAAAGAAAAAATTGCATGGCGTCGTTGAGCATCATCGCCCCATCCCCCGCCCGATCGACCCACCCTTGCTACCCGAAGCTCTCAAGATCAGCCCCCCGACTCCACGCCCAAGGGTGAACAACCAACCTGGGTCGCACGATACCATCCCTGCCCGGTAAGGCCCAGAACGATTTTTCATTCCACACGTGTACTCTAGTGGTAGCGGAGCAAAAGAAGCAAAAAAAGGGTCTCAGGCTGATACACAACAACCAAACTGGTGACGACCAGTGACGTTGTTGAACACTCTCGATATCCCCACCCGCTGGCCAAGGAGCCTGGGAGCTCGGTACGTTTCTTGAAGATCCCAAAATTCATGTGCAGCCGCTCCCATCAGGACCCCGTCCGTTGCGACGTTCATAGCTGTGTAAACAAGGGTCATGATAACGATAATGCAGTGTTTCGGGGCAGTGTGTCAAAGAGAGAGGAGGGGTTGTCGATCTTGTTCCTTTAGGAATACAGCAACCTCGTAAATTGAGGAGCACGAGGAACTCGTGAGTGGTAGCCTCGTTTTCGGAGCCCTATCTTTGGTACGGGTTCCTGGCTTCCGGGCGAGCGAACTAGACTAGTGTAAACACCTTAAACTGGTTTTGGCTGCAGTCCTGCCCCATGGTCTCTTGTGTATTGTCGTTTTCTTCAGGACGAGAGGAAAGGCCGAAGACGCTTCTAACAAGTCTAGCTGGGAATTAACAAAATGTCGGCGCAGCATGGTGGGGAAGAACCCACAGGGAAACGCACAGGGAAGACACGCCCGCTTCCTCATGGACATGTGATCAGGTTCATGTACACTGGATTATGGGCGCCATGAGCCCTATGGTAGCGAGCTGCAAGACCAGCGCAGGGGGGCCAGAAAGCAGGGAAGTTTAAAGATCAATATCGTCGAAGTTGGCTCGCTAAACTTAGCTCTGCTAGTGTTGCTGTGGCTGACATTGATTACATGGCGCTCGGCGGGATGGTGTTCGTGGGGAATCAGGCAAAGGTTACGTGGCGAGCGTGGGCACACAGAAGTCAAGTCAAACCAGCTTTGTTACTTTTAATAGGTTCTTCATTCTCCCGTCGTAAAACTAAGTGTAATAACCGGATCCGTTCCGCCCGCCTTGCCCACATACCTGGGCAACCATTGAGTAATGCACCATAACCAAACACCCCCGAATATCCCGAAGACGATGCTGAATAATGATAAAAAAAAAACAAGAATTTTTTTCTCCCAGCCCATTCCCATGAGGAGTCCGGTCCCCTTTTCGCCGTAAAGTCTATAGCCTGAGGCGACCCAGCTCGTCTGGTTTGTAACTTGATATACAGAGACAGGAAATAACTCGAAATGCAAAAAGCAGCAATTGAGGAGATACAGAAAGGTAGAAAAATGAATACAATGCTGCCGCGCGCCGTCATAGTACAAGATTGTTGTACATTCTATATCGTTTGATGGTCCAGGATCCGGTCCGTCTTGAGGGACCGCCCAATGTCGTGATGTCGCTTCGTAACCAAAAAAGAATAAAAAAGAAACCCACCCCAGTCCCCTCTGAAAAGACAGTGCGCGTAATAAAATGCGTTAAGCGGTTCAAAATGTAACGTTTGAGAATTGAAGCAAGAAAATCCACACGCTGGGGTGCGGTGGTGGTGGTGGTGCTGCTGCCCAAAAGGACATGTTCCAAACCAAAACCCGGATTTCTGGTGTCGTTTGGTGTGGTGCGACTATGACATCATCGGCGCTGGTTGCCCATCATCACAAAACAGCTCGAACAGCTGGTGCGCGCGATCGGCAGGGTCCAGTCGTCGGCGGCGTTGGCGACCGGCGATTGGTCCCCACAGCCCTGTCAGAGGGAACGGTCAATGAAGGAGCTGGAAATTGCCAGAAAGGCGCAACCCCCATCTTTGGACCCTGCATGGCCGTTGCTGTTTTGGGAAGATCCTGACGCCAGAGTGGGTCTGTATCGGCCAATGGAAGAACAGAATTGTGATTCTGCCCCACCTATCGACTGCCCCGCTCCCACGAAAAATGGAGTGCGTCTGGCCGACGTCATCGGGATGCAATCGATGGTTGCATCTCCGAAAACGAAGACCCATCTCGGGCTGCCGTGGCCTTGGAAATTCGCATGGACCGCTGGCGTGTGGTTGGGAGACCGCACAGGATGGATGGCCTTGCCGTCTGTGGTGTCCTCTGCCTTCCGGCCGCGATGCTTTGTGGCTAGCCCCAGGAGGGATATCAAAGTCGAGGGTACCTGAATGTGCATCAAGAACTAAAATGCAAGAAAGGATGCCAAATCAAGCCTTGAGTGCATGCATTCAGCTGTGGCCGCCACGTCTGCGCTGCTTGCCAGGGAACTCGACGTCTGGGTGACACACGCGGTAATGCCGCGTGAGCGCATCTGCCCGGCTGAACGTCTTGTCGTCAGTGCAAAGGTCACATCGGACCTTCTGCTTCCGGGCGTTGTGGATAGTGTGCTCGTGACGGGTCAGGTCGTAAGGACGAGAAAAGACAGTGTTGCAGGGCTTGCCGGTGCTTGGGTTGATGCGATCACAACGATGCGGGCCAGCTTGCGTATTGAGGAGCGTCGATGAAGTCATGCCAGTAGGGGTTTCGGGCCGCCGAACTGAGGTAAGGCCGTGTGCCTGACGGTGGCCTTCCCTCTTGTGCTTCTGCAGAAGGGCAGGGGTTTCGAAGCGCAGCGTGCAGCCGTGGTAGGTGCAGGTATATGTGCCACCATCGGCGCGAGTGTCTGAGGGACGCTGTGGGGTGCTACCGTGAACTGAGTCGGTGATGCCAGTTTCGGCGGACCCAAGCCTGGTCGTGCCCATGGATGTGTTGGCCCCAGATGGCACAGCACTGTGAGGTCGCTGTTGCGCCATGAACGGGTATTGCGGGTGCATCTGCACCGGCGCCGGCATTGCCGCGCCTAGGAAGTTGTTGAACGAGTTGGTGTCCATGTGCATGCCGCCACCGAACACCTGTTGGCTTTGGGCTGCGGTCGCCTTGTTAATGGCGTCTGCGTTAAAGCTGGCGTTGTTGTGTTGCCTAGGGAAGAGTGGGAAGTTGTTCACATCACCCTCGGCCTCATGGAACTCGAGCATGGCGTCCTTGGGGGAAATGGTTTGAGGCGTGACTGTGTCTGCAGCGGGCCTGGAGATTTGCTGCTGCACAGCCTGTGCATCGCGCATGGCCTTGCTTTGCTCACGTAGCTGCTGCGCTGTGTTGAAGCGCACCTGCGAAGCCGACCCGTTACCCATCGCCGATCGGAAGTCGCTCATGGGCATGGGGGCGAGTGGCGAGCCCTGGCGGAACGGAGATCGGTCGCGGGACGCCGATGATACCGGAGAATTTGTCACTGCAGACAAGTGCTGGTTGTTGGCAGCCTGGATCCTCTGGGTGAAGAGGTCGCTGGTGGGCGAAATTGAGGAAGCTTGTCCAGACGACGGTGATGTGATGGCAAAGTTGGGGCTGTAGAGCTCGTCCGCGTAGGCGTCTGTCATGGTGCGGTCGAGTTTGGGGACGGGATGTAGGGCTGCGGACAATGGTGAGCCGGGTGTTCGTGGCCAAGAATCATCCAGGGGAAATAGACCCGGATCCGCATCCGAGTGATTGGTCTTACCAGTAGTGCGTTTCCTGTCCTCCTCAGGCTCCCCTGCTGGCGTGGCAGGTGAGTCAGATACTACTGAGCTCGCCACCGATGCGGCTTGTGACCTCGGCCCAGCCGGATGGTCGGGAAGGAGGTTGCGATCGTTCCTGCGCCGAGGTGCCGTGGTAGCGAGGTATGAGTAGCTGGGGATGTTGTTTGTCGTGGTGTCGCCGCCGGACCCATACGAGGGCAGGCCACCAGTGTAAAAGTTGTCGTGTGATACGCCCGGGAACGACTTAGCGGCCGCCAACTGATAGTGGCCATTGAGGTCGTCCGCGCCGTGAAGAGCGTGGAAGTGTTCCCCGACTGAGTCGTTCATAGCGATTTGGGGGTTTGCAACATTGTGCGAGTAGGGAGAGAGCGGGCCATTGGAACCCATGGACGAGCGGGACGAGTCCCGCTGGTGCGAGAAGTGGCCGGCTGACCTCGGAGCCGGCTGGGCACTGCCCTGCATCCAAGATTCCGTTTGCATCGCGTCGGTGTTTGTGAACAAGTTCGCCGGCCGGCTTTGTCGCTGTGCGGGGAACAAAGAAGGTTCTGCAAGCGTGGGCGTCGGGATGCTGTCAAAGGCCGACAAAGGCGAGTACTGCGACAGCTGCGAGAGCGTCGAGGTTGGGGAGGCTGATAAACTACCGTAGTCGAGATTGTTGGTATCGAGATCGAGATCGAGATCGAGACCGAAATCGAGGGCGTTCATAGAATCGGTAGTTGCTTCGAAAGGCGACGCCGTGTTGTGCCGTATGCTGTGGTTGTAAAGTGCGGCGGCGGCGGGCTGAAGGTGTTGTTGAGGTTGAAATTGAATAGACTGTTGTTGCTGGAAGAAGAGAGGCCGGCTTTGGTTTTGTGTCATGTTGTCGGGCGCTGGTATGGGTGTACGTTGTATGTGTGTGGCAAAAAAGGTCAAAAACGACTGATGTAGAGGCTTGATTGATTTATACCGAAGTGCACTTCCTCCCAGACCCTGGGAACGCCCTGGAAAGAGGGTGCGTGACGAGTAACGAATGGGGGTGGCCGGAGCGGAGATGACGTCGAGTACCGGATGGAGAGTCATGGAAGATCAGCCAAGACTCTCTGTGACAGGGGATGTGCACAAAGACTCGCTTTTTAGCAGGGGTCCTGGAGATCCCGACCGAGCCCGCTGAAAAGTCAACGGTACCTCTTGCTAAACAAACAGTGTACCTGCTTGAGCCTCGATCTTCTTGCTCCGGGACTTCTGGTTGGCTAAGGAGGTCTGGCCCCAAGGCTTGTTCGAGGCACTGCCGATGAGTGCAAATCTGGTCGATGCAGCAACTCGCGAGGCCGTTTGATGCCGGAGTCGGCTCGATGCGGCCAGCATGTTCTTTCCCATTCTCCTAATGTTGAATACGGGTATTCGGATTACACAACGTGACTCGCATCCTAACTTCGCACGATTGATTGTTGCTGTCGAGCGCGGAAAGCATTTGGAATCGAATTCTCGTTTCGGTGACTGATGCCGACGATGACTGGCCATGCGACGGGATTGTAAGCAATTACGAATGTTGGTAGTTAGTAACGATATCGGCGTTCTAACCTTCTCTTCTGAATCGGCGATTTGAGTGTCGCAAACTGAACACGACCGGACGCAACTGTTTCGATATGATTCCCGATCCTCCTCCCATTGGAGTCGGCGAAACAATCGGCGGTCGGTTATCTCGATATTGGGCCCTTTGCTGCGGACTGATAGCCTGAAGATCCGGCGACGGCATGGCCCTTGATTGTGCGCATCTAGATTCCTGCATATATGGGTTCTAGCCAAACCTATGATCGCGGCGGTTGATCTCGACCTTGAGATACGAGACAATTGATGTGCGTTGAACGGGGAGGATGCAACACAAGGCTCGACAAGCTGAGCAAACGTTGGAGAGAGCCGATGCAGGCTTGTGGTCTGGATTCTTTGTGTGGGGGTTTGCCCTTGTTGGGAGAATTTTGTGGAGGGGTGGGGACAGGATAGCACGGACGGGGTCTGGACAATAAATTCTCTGTTAACCGTACAATCTCCATCATATTTTGTGATTATTTTTGTCTGAATCGAGAAACGTGCCCACCCCCACACGGATCGATTGGGCAGCTGCACGTTCGGGGCATGCGCCGGCCGAGATCAGGAACCAAAACGGCCCAGCAAGCTAAGCCCTTGAGAAGCAATGTCTTCGCACCGCCACCTGTGGACTTCGGCATTCCTTTACCACATCACCGAATTCGCATCTCCGCTTTGAAATCCGGTCGGGCCCTTTTGGAGGGGGGCCCGAAGATCTGTAGTACACTATTTGCACTGCCTGGCCCGGTACAGCTCGACGTGGATGCCTGTGGTGTTGGCGACTCACTCTTCGTACAGGGCTGTAGCTTGTCGACCCAGGTGGACTGGATGTTGTCGAGTCTCTTGGCGGGCGGCCGCCCAACAATGGACACCTCGCTTCTCCGCGGCATTGGAGGAAACGGCCTGAACTCGGCCCACTTTTACGTCGCCACAACCTCCAATTTGTGGCTTGCCCGCCGGGCAGACAGCCGTCATCTAGCATACCCTAACTTAGCTGTGGCTGACCTCCTGCTTCCCTGTAAAAACCAGTTGGACTAGGCTCATGCATACGTATGTCTGCATCTGATAGTGGATTGTTTAGGATATTAGACGGCGTACGTCGTCGTACGTCGCGTGATCTGGGGACAGGGTTTGCGAACGAGAAGCGACGTTAGTGTGGCGCAACGCACGACTTGGGGCTTGCCGGCATCGGCTGATAGAATTGTGGAATCCTGATTTTTGACTGTGCTGACCAAGAACCGCTCTGGTTTTGGTCCCTTCTAAATCACCTATCTTCTTCCCTTAGCTCGTGCCTTGCATGCCTCGAGATGGGAACTTTCATTTGGGAAAACTATGCTCCATGTCATGAGTTGCTCGTGCCGCGCGTAACGGAAGGCCGGATGCGTCACATGACCTTGGCGGCTGACCCCAGCCGATCCGAGTGCAACGAAGAGAATTGATGAGTCAGACAAGAAACGGGACAATAGAAGTCTTGCGACTTGTTCTCTACGTTTCCGCCTCTCGTTTTCGCACGCGACGCTCCCTTAACTCTCACTGTTTGAAGAACGAGACAAGCGGGCGGGCTTTAACGGCAAGTGGCTCTTGACAATGACTCGGCCCTTGGCGACATCAGAGTGCTGGCTTAACCCAACTCGACCTTGTCCCGCCTTGGGCGTCCCGAAATCTGAATCGCCCTTCGCTTGGCTCCCTTGGGCACTCGCGTATAGTTGGTGCCAATGACTCTGCGTTCAGCTCCAACTTCTCCCACCCTCCTCAGCATCGTCCAGGAAGTTGAAAGACAGCAGAGCCGGGAATCCTGGCCTGAGAGTCTTGCTCGAGACAGGCGACAGGCCCGAGTCCGGGGGCGGCGAGAGGATCGACACCAGGGTAGGGGGCCTTCAAGCTTCGCCCCATCGTTGTGCGAAACAACGATGCGAAACCGATTCCCCACGATCCTGTTCGCTGGAAACATACCCACCTCAAACCACTGGCGGAGGGCCTCCCCGGGCCCAGGCCGAGTCATACACCAGTGTAGAGCCTCCCGGCTGCCTCCAGCAATTGCTGTGCTGTCACCCCTCGCTGTATCCTCCCTGCTCGGCTACAAACCCTATTTCGACCACCGGTAACCAATAGCATCGGGCTCAACAGCCATTACCCGATGCAACCGAGGCCAGAAACCGTCCCCCAACTTGTGTTTGTCGTTCTGCGTGGCTTGCTTGTCGTCTTTACTTGGCTGAAGAGAACGTGTGAAATACTTCATCCTGGTACCGCCGCAACGTGGTGCAAAACACTTCTTCTGCCTCGAGGCTCGCAGCCTTCGTCGAGACACACAGACAGAGATGCGGTCAAGAGTTGGCAGTCAGGTATACACTATGGTACAGCTTCGAACCCGGCGCACACAATGCTCCACGTGTCTCCCAGGTTCAGCCTGCAAAGCGAAACGCGTTCTCGACCATTGGCTACCTGACTCAAATTATCGATGACTTGCGAAGCTCCTCGTTTATCCGTGTTATCTCCTTCATCTCAGCTGTTTCGAAACACGCACGTACACTTCGACGCCCCAACTGTGGATAGGTTGGCCACCCCAAGACACCGACACATCATCTGTGAGCCGACAGTTGAGCTGCCAGATCCCAGATGAAGTTGTCCAGATCGCCCCGGACTGACCACCAATCAGGGTTCCGATTCGAACCAAGACCCGGCTGTGCCACGCATCTGCCGGATGGGCCGAGGTCCATAGTCTCTGTCAAAGCAACGCCAGCGAATAACAAGGCTCGGCGGCCACCCCCCAACCCAGAACCTTGCAAACCTTGTCCCCAGGCGAGCCAGGCTGTGGCTTTGTGAGTTTTTGCTGTCGGCGCCCCCGGGTGGGTGTCCCAAATGCCCCAATGCCTGGGAGCGAGCACTGGGCCCTGCGACCGTTTGGATTTCCCAACCCTCGTTCCATGCACAAGCACAGCACAAACGTGGGTGAGAACCGCCACCGAGACCACGCGGCAACTCAACAGGACCGCAGGGGCTGAGCTGCGTTGATCTTTTACGATTTGAGGACCGTATTTCAAGGCTCTTAAAGATTTAAACGAAGAGCTTGGGGGAGCTCCCGACTTGGGGAGCCGGTGGAAGGTCCGGCCGTGGCCGTTGGCTTGAGAAGAATCGCAGGCAGACGGGAGCCCGACAACATAATCACTTATTACCTAATGAGTTAATAAGTTACCAACCCGTCAACAGTAAGGGAGTAATCACACCAAGAGTCAACCCATAACACTCAAGCCCAGCGACGTTTTCGGGTACAGACTTTAGGGGTGTTCTGCCGCTGTACTTTGTTCGGCATCTCGCGCTTTCGGTGAAATCTTGGGTTGTTGCACGCAACAGATTGGTTCCCCAGGTCGGAGGTCTCAACTACACAGTGTTCAAGTCGAGCCGCTCTCCGAGACCGACACGCAGATAAAATTTTTACAATCCGGCTATGGAAGCCACAAAATTTTCACACGGTCGCGTTCTCGATGGTTGGAAGAAACCCAACCAGAAACAACACAACACAACATGCGGGAAGAAATTTTCTTCCATGGTTGCATCAAAGTCCCATCCTTCCCGATCGTGTGGGTGGGTGGGAACTGGCCGGAAATGGCCAAATCTCAGGTCACACCACGGCGCTAATGCAGGACGCATTTCGCTGCCCAGTGGCCGCTAAAAATGGACGAACAGGGCTTCAGCACCTTGGCACCGTCGCTTGCTCGATCGGAAGCCGCCGAACAGCTCCTTTTTCGCACGCTTGCAGTCGTTCCTTCCCAGTGCCGAGAGTGCTAGGAGTCGAAAGACCACCGGGCGGCATCGGTCTCGGCTTCCACACGACTGAATTTTATCCGTCTCGCACCAACAGCACCGCTCGCCCGACTCCGACCGGAGACCACAATTCTTGGGCAGTCCCGATTGACCGACGGTCGTCCCGTGCTTCTCTTGGCCATGTGCCGCTACATTTTTTTTTCATTCCTACTGTGCAGTCACCGATCCCCTTTCTCTCCCTGTTCCCTTCTACCGCCCATCCATCCGATGCGAAGGGATTTCTTCCGGTGATACCTTAAGCCGCGCACTCACGACGCCTTCGATTATGAAATCGCACCGAGTGTCCCGGCAGGGCGTTGGGCTGACGCATTTGCGTTTGGTCACTGATCATGGACGACAAAGTACGAAGTACACAGTTCACCTCGGCACTAGCGGCCTCGTCATAAATCCGCCGGTCCGGATCTACATGCGTGGAACTGCATAGCGCCCTTGAGATTTCAAATAAGCCAGTCTCTAGAATTTGCAAACGATTACCAACGATTCCAAAGCGTTTTGTACACTATCGTTTGCTCTTCTAGTATCGGGTTGCCAAGGACAGTGTCCGGACTTACAAAGTCGGGTACATCCGTATTCCATCCACGCCCTTAGGAGCGCCTCGATTAATCAGCATTGATGGCCCCGCCTCCACATTCCTTTCTGGGCTTCGAAAACCGGTGCGAAGACGCCTTTTAACAAACAGCGCTCAAAGAAGAGAAACAGATTTGCATTTCAATCATTGAGTCATCATGCCCGGAAATCTGCTTGTGGCCTAGAGCCTCGGGGCAAAAAAAAAAAAAAAAAGAAGGAAAACACTCAGCACTCGTAACGTAACCCGTGTCTACCCAGCCCTGGTGACGTTGCAAAGGCTGTCTGTCGTCTTTCAACATTCCGAGCACCGAACTCGTCCAAAACCCGAAAACCGAAACCGGGGGCTGCGCCTCGCGGCCAACCCCCAGGGAGCGCAGCGGGAACCCACGCGACGTCAAATCAAACGGGGCGGCCAAACCACCGACCGCCCGGCCCCATCCGGCCCTGGAAGTCTGGGCACTGCAGCGCCTTGTGGGGCTAAGATCTTGCGCGAGAAGCCATGAGGAGCGGTAACTAGCGGGCAGCGGGAGCGGCACATGAGCTGAAGTGGAAATTCTCACTGCTGAACACCCTTCTCGATCCGTTTAACCGTCTGACTGTTCAGCTCACATATGCATGCAGCACGACACCGACCGACGACCGTACGAGCCCAGTCCAGCCCAGCAGGCCTAGCCCCCCGAAAGAGCCGGGTCCGGCCGGCCACATGGGAGCTGCAGAAGTTTTCTCGCTCTCGGCGCATTCACTGCTGCACACTCTCAGGAGATGGGAAAATTTTGACAGAAGGTAAAACTGCATGTCTGTGGCACAGGCACTGAATTGTAACCAACCACGCCGGGAACGACTACCGAATTCACGACCGACAATCGGTCAACCACCAGTACGTTTAGCCCGGGTCTTTCTCTTAACATCGTCCGACTGTATGTATGTACACTACACAGTACATGCCATACATTCTAGCGGAGATCTCCGATCCAGAAACTTACCGAACCAAGGTCACAGCTCGGATCAGAGCAGATCACCACCCATTAAACCTAACTGGGCTCAAAAAAAGACAAATGCACACTATGTAGACTGCGTGCATCCACCGAATGAAAGTTGTTCGTCTTTTAGCGGCATCTTTTAGTGTCCACTCTGCTGTTTACCCCATGTCTCAGACGTCGAGAGCTGTGGCCGGCCCAGCTGGGCCTGGGCTGTCCCCATGGCCCGGCCACATATCGGGTGGGTGGGTGATTGGATGGACATCGAACACGCCGATCAGACCGGACGAGCTGCACAGTAAAGCTACTTGGTGTATCGCGCTCGCCGTCGATCGGGTGGAAAATTCGCGATCGAGAGGGAAAAAAGTTTGATGTCCTGCATATGAAGTGCAGGTGCAAATTCCATCCACTACGGGACATGCTAATTATGTCTCCACGTGAGTACTATGTATGTCCATAACGTTACATAATGTTCCCAGCCCGGTCAAGAAGGGGGTGTGGGTGGTGGGATGGTGCCAAGGGTTAGGTGAGAAAAATACGACTGGGGCTAGAACCTTTGATACGACAGGGCTGAGGGTAAGGTGTGTGAGGCTAGCCGAGGGGGGAAAAAGTTTTCACTCCTTCATCCTTTCTCCCGGTTGTTGATCGCCGAGGAAAAGTCCGGCGCAGTGGTTAGAACTTATTAGTTAGAGGGAAAGGGGGGTGTCCTTAATTTGTGACTGTACACTCCTCTTATTTGCAGTGACAGGTTGAGTCCTTGTAAACGTATATCCCCTCCTTGCAACCGAGTCGGCGGCCCTGAACAAGTAGAGAATAAAAATACTATGGATTAAACTTGGAAAAACGAGGGAAAACAAAACGGAGATCTGGAAATCACGCATCGAATCGTCGGCGCTGAAACGGGATCGACCGTCCTAGGGGAACTCGTTTGTTCTAGACTCTTGACATTCAGATCCAGCCCTTTCCGCATCTTCATCTACAACCAGGCACTGGGAAGACTTCTTTTTGAGTGGGTTAGGTGTCGTGCTAATAATTCTGCTGGTAATTAACGCTATGTTATCCATACGCAGCTGTGATGGCATTTGCGTCTTTACCTGGCCCGGGATGTAACTTACCACAGACAACATACCTGCCCCAATTACACCTGTCTCATGACCGTTGCCTCTGTTATATGATACCCTCCCTGTGGTCTCTTGGAAACAAAAGACATCCGTACCTAGGTAGTAACCCCCAATAAACCATCACCACAAACATGCCGCCAAACCACAACTCCCTGACAGTCAAACAAAACAACTAACAAACTCAATTGGTATAATCTCTAGTCAACCCGTACACAAACCCAGCCTCCACCTGCCGGGCAGAACTGATCTGATACCAAATACAAACAACTATGGGTTTAGGCCTTTTTGGCCTCCCCTAGTATGGCGTCCATCTGCTCATTTTCGAACCGCTCCGCAACAAAACAAAAAGACATACATCCAATCCAATCCAGTTCTTTCTTTCCCTTCACACATTGTAGATGGTCTTTTCATACATCGTACCATACCATACCGTACCGTGCGTACACTTGAAACCTCATGGTATCCAACAAACATCAACCTTTTCAGTTCTTCCGTCCGCTATCCATATCACAAAATGATGAGCTGTGACATAATCAGTCAGTATAGTTTCCAACATGAGAGAGGAGAGAACTCCAAAAAAACTCACCTCAATCAACTTCTCCGTCAACGCAAAACACGACCGGTCCTGCGGCTCCTGCGCCAGCGTAAACGAGCAGCTCCGCCACAGCCCAGCAAAACCCATATCCTCCAAGATCTCATTCAACCCAGCCCCCGCTCCAACCCCTCCTCCTGTTACACTCCCACTCCCGCCAGCATTACCACTTCCCCCCACATTCTCATCCAACCCCCCCAACAACCTCGCACTCCCCATCACAGTCCTCAGCAAAGCCTGCGCCGCCTCCACCGTAGCCGACGACTGACAATGCAACAGCACATCATTCAACAGCGGCACCAGCAGCCCCCCACCTGCACCACTACCAGTCCCAGCCCCACCAGAACTACCACTGCTAGAAGTAGTAGTACCACCAGCGCACAAATGAACCGCCACCCCCGGCCGTTCAACAGCAACCCGCTGCAACCAACGCAAACTGCGCAGTTGTACCGCGTCATCGAGACAGGCGAAATCGACGAGTTCGATGGCGGTGTTGAGGAGGAGGTCTTTGTCTTTGAGACGGCGGGAGGGGTGCGGGTGAGGGCGATGGTGCGGTCGGTGTTGGTAGGGGTGGGGGGAGAGGTCTTGTTCGGCGCGGAGGAGGGTGGGGTCTAGGATGGTATTGGGGTTGTTGTTGTTACTGTCTGTAGTGGTGGGGGAAAGGGAGGAGGAGGAGGAGGAGGAGGAGGAGACGTTGATGCCGGCGGCCCAGAGGTGTTCGTGGAGTTCGGCGGCAGAGGTGGTGCGGGCTAGCATGAGGGCCATGTAGGGGGAGGCGAGAAGGTCGTGGAGGTTGTGTTCGGCGCGGGGGCCTGTAGCGGGCTTTGTTGTTTTTGGTTCTGGTTCTGTTTCGGTCTCTGTTTCAGTCTCGGAACCATCGCCGTCACGGTCGCCGCGGCTAGCGGGGGAGGTGACGCCTGGGGCGGTGCTGCTGCTGCTGCTGGGGACGGTCATCACGAGGAAGGTGGACAACACGCGGAGGGCCGTGGCCCGCGTGACGCTGTCGGTGAGCCCACGCACGAGACACGCGCAGGCAGCGTAGTGGAAGTTCTCGCTGGTGAAATGTATCCCATAGGCCTCGTCAAGCAGCGACGCGGCTTGCTCGAGGGGCACGCGACCACGCAACAACTGAGCCACGACCTGCTCGCTGCTGCTGCTGTCGCGGATGTCCGGGGTGGTGCTGATGTTGGCGAGCACGGCCTCGAGGAACAGGGCGGTGCAGTTGAACAGCGGGAAGGGCACGAGACGCAGCAGGGAGATGGCAAGCCAGAAGAGCTGCACGCCGTAGCGGGATGCGGAAGGCAACTTGGCCATCATCTTGGACAGCGCGGTGACGATGGCGACGAGCATGTCGCTGCTGCTGGTGGCGCTGGTGCTGTTGCCGGCGAGGATGTCTTCGCCGAAGCGGCCGACGCTGTGGCGCAGGGCGACGAGCACCTGGTACAGCAGGTCGTCGTCGACCTCCTCGCGCGCGAGACAGCCCATGACGGTGAACGCGCGCGGTTGGATGGCCGGGTTATTCTGGAACGCGGTGCTAGCCACCAGACTCATCCAGCGGGCGCGCCAGGCATTGGCGAGGTCGACCGAGGGGGCAGCCACGGCGCAGGTCTCGAACAGGACGGTAGCGAGGGCCTCGGTGGCGGCTAGTGTCGGACTAGCCTCACCAGCACCAGCAGTGTGGGTCGACATAGACGCGGCACCGTCGCGCAGTGATAGCAGACCACCGCCGGCAGAGTGTCCATGGCCAGAAGGGTGGACATGGATAAATATATCGCCGCTGCTCTTGGGATCCGACAGCGTATCGAGCGTGGCGCGTAGCTTGCCGCTGCGGTCCTCGTCTAACGCCACGAACGCAGTACTCGCAGAATGCAGAGTGTTGGTTAACAGCCGATGCACAACAGCGCGCACGTCGGGGGGCCCCGTGTTCGCCAGCATGGTGACGGCGTGGAAGATCTCGGGTAGGTACATCTGGGCCTGCACGCCACTGTCGAAAGACAAGGCCAGACAGAACTGCAGCAGCACGCACAGCTCGTTCCACACCGGGTTGTCGGGCAGGTGCCGTGTCGGACGCAGCGAGGTGCGGTTGAGCCCCTTGCGTAGCCGCGACACGATCTTGCCGCGCAGCGTGACGGTGCCGATGGCCGCCGCGATCGACGTCAGCGTCTCGGTCTGCTCGTCCTCGAACCCGAGGCTCAGCGCGGCTTTGACGACCTCGTCGATGAACACGTCTAGCAGCACCTCGTCCTGCGCAATTGCCGGCCAGACCGTTTGTTCGAGAGGAACAGCCAGCGTCGGGTCCGTCACGGCCACATCGAGCAGCTTGCGGAATAAACCCGCGATCTTCTCTTTCCCCTTGTCACTCTCCGTTTCGCTTGCGAGCAGCGACGTCCGCAGGCCCGGGATCCAGGGGGCCATGTACGCCAGGCTGAGCGGCTTCTGCTCCTCCAAAAAACTGTCCCATCCGACAAAGAACTCGTTCAGGAAATCGGCCGTCAGTTGGGGTTCCGTCTGCGCAAGACTCCGGCTGATATCAATAATGAACCGCGACGGGTCTAGCGGGATCGCAATCTCGCGCGCGCTCAGCAGCCGCGACGTGGCGGCCGAAAACTTGAAGGCCTTGCACAGCGCGCTCAGCAAGTTGTACGACGACAACCGCAGCACGGGGTCCGGTGTGGCCAGGTTGGTCAGCGCCAGGTTCAGCAGCGTGCCGGGCACGTCCTGCGGGCGGATCAGGCGCTGCTGCTGCTCGAGCAACAGCGATGTGGCCGACGACTTGCCTCCCCCGCGGGTGTCCCGCGCGTGCCTTGCCTTGGCCCCCCGCAGCGTCGCCAGGATCTCGGCCTTGTGCGGACTGGTAAAGTACATGACCACGCGACCCCCGTCGGCTTTCAGCCCGAACGCCGAGTTGTCCTCGGTCTGGATTGCCGTGGGGGCCTCGTCGACGTCGCCTAACCGGAAGATGTCGTTGACCGTTGTGCTCTGCCGGAACCCGGGCATATCCTGGACCTGTGCCGTCGTGACCTGTACGAACTGGTGTCCGACCTTGATCTGCACGTCTACTTTGCCCTTGGACTTGCTCAGCCGCGTGACGGGTTGGAACACGTAACGCGTATCGGTCACTACCGCGACGGTCTCGCGCGGCAGAACCAGCTGGCTGAGATGGAAGTGCACCTGCAGGTCCTGCAGCGTGCCCAGCAGACGGTACTCGACCCGCGCCGGGCTGAAGACATGCCCCTCGTTCTTGGCCGACACCCGCAGGATCCGCCGCAGGCACTTCTTGGATGCGCTGTTCAGGTTGTAGATGTAGATGCGCCTCAGACGGTCTGAGAGCTCGCGCGGGGTTAGTTGGTCGATCTTGTGGAAGAGCTCGTCCTTGGGCTCGTTCACCCCCGTGTAGTACGTCGAGTCGATCAGCAAGGCAAAGGGCCGGTCCCACAGCCGGCTCGCGATCTTGAGGTAGCAGTAAATCATGGTGTCGAAGTCGATCGCCTCGCCGTCGATGTGCCGCAGGATGATGCAGATGATCGACAGCCCGTCTTTGCTCTCACCCGCGTCGTACACTGCTCGCGCCGTGAGAAACGACTCGGTGCCCCGGAACGCATTGCGCAGCATAAAGTCCTGGAACCGCGAGTACGACGGCGGGCTGTTGGCCGGAATCTGGGGGCGATTCCACGTCACCGCGAGGGGCGGCGGGCCCAGATTCATGATCAGGTTCCTCAGGGGTTCTAGGACTGGTGACCGGCTGCTGCGCGTCGACTCGGCCGGTGACCGCACAAACTCCTTCTTCTCCCGCGCTACCAACCGCTGCCGCACTAGGTCCCAGTGCTCGTATAGGAACCGATGCAGCGCCACGCACGAGCCGAACTCGAACGACTCGGCCGCTGGGGGGGTCTCAAACGGTGGAGGGGGGATCTATACCGTCAGGGTTAGGGTTGGATATGATGGGTGGGAAACGGACGAGAGGAACAGAAACATACCGAGATCTCGCGCAAAAACGTGGTCACAGTCCAAATATTCTCCGTTAAAAAGTCCACGAGCGGGAACATGTACGGCTCCTTGGCCCCAAACAGCATGTTGTTGGCCAAGTTCTGGATCACCTTGGCAATCAGCAGCAGCCCGCGCCGGGTCTCCCTCGACGGCGGCTCCGAAAGCAGGCCCTCGTTCTCCGGTGTCACGATGGCCGGGCAGAAGAAGCGCAGGAAGATGAACGAGCCGACCGCCGTGTACTTGGAGTCGGGGAACTTTTCCGCTGCCGTTTCCGAGATCTATTGGATCCTGTCAGCTTTTTCATATCCCTCTTTTTATTTACTGACTTGTCCAAAGTTGGATGCCATGTGTCAACTCACAATGTTGCAAATCTTGCGAAACACAGGCGGCATCTTGCGCACGGAGTGACAAATATTGTCGATAAACACGCGCGACACAAGCTGCAGGTTATTCACGTTGGCCGCCAGCTCCTCCTGCGAACTGACCCGCTCCGGGTCCAGCTCCAGGCTCATGTCCTGGGACGTCGCGATCACCCGGTCTATCACGCCCTGCAGCGTGTCGCGGAGGTAGGCCGCCCCTTTCCACTTGGTGTAGATGATAAGCATCCTGATGGCTACCGAGGAGCGGCGCAGGAGCTCCGTTTCGTGGCCTGCGTGGGTTGTAAGCTAAGAGAAGACAGCAAGTTGGGGAAATTATAGAGGGGAAATTATAGAAGGCATAAATGACACTCACTGGTCTCTTCAACCTCCTGCTTGATCAGTGCCTCCAGCAGGTCCAGGGTGCTCCCCCTCGCCTCAAAAATATTCAGCAGCGAGATCGTCAGCTCGTCGACATCGTGGCTCGGACACACCCCCGCCATGGCCACGGCCAACCCGGGGTCGCTCGTCACAATCTGAGATCTGTCAGCCTCGTCCAAAAAATAGGGGGGGCCAATACATGTAAATAAAACATGACGTACCTCCAACAGCTTATCATACTTCTCATTCACCGCCGCATCACTCAGATTACTAAACTCCGTCCCCTGCACCAAAATGTTATACAACACCCTGATAAACGCCTTGCGAATATTCCAATTCTCATGATACCCAATACTCAGCGAGTGCTTCAGCCCAACATCAATGTTAGCACTCAGCAAATTCGACAAGATCGTGATCGCCAGATCCGACGTCGACGCTTCAGAGTTGCTACTGCTGCTGCCGCCGATCGCCCCGCCGCCAACACCTCCACCCCCACCGGCAACAGCAGGTCCGAGGTAGTGATGGTGCGGCCCGTGGTAGTACCCGTGATGATACCCATGGTATCCGTAATCCCCCCGTCCGCCGGCCGCATCGATGCTGCCGTTGTTGTTGGAGTCCATGTTGAGTAGCGAGAGGAAGCGGTTGAAGTACGAGTGGAACATTTGCGACTTTTGCTCGCTCATGCCTACGTCGGTCGTCCCATCGCCGCCTGGCTGTAGCGGTAGGCGGAAGGTTAGGGTTGATAGTGAGCGGAGACAGGCGTTGTCTAGGTCGCGTTGGAAACGAAGCATCTCCTCCTGCCGGCTGGACGCAGTGGTGGTCGTGGTGGTTGTTGTGGTCATGGTTGAGGTGGCTCCTGTGGTAGCGTTGGGGTTGTTGTTATTGCTGGTGGTGGGGGTAATGGTGTTGCTGTTGTTAGAGCTGGCGTTGTTGTTGTTGTTGTTGTTGTTGTTGTTGCCGCTACCGGTGTTGCCGCCGGCGCTGATGCTGGCATGAAGAGAGGTGAGACTGGACGCGGTGGTGGCCTGCAACGCGAGCGCCGCGGCCGCAGCCGAGTCGCGCGGGGAGCGTGGCCGGGCGATCCAGCTGAAGATGTACTCGAGCAGCTGGTTGCGTACGTGCACGTCATCACGGAGGTTGAGCTGTTCCTTGCGCTTGGTCACGGCCTCGACGAGCTGGCAGATCTTGATCTTGACGCGCAGACTGCTGGGCGTGTCGATAATCCCTTCGAGACTCTTGGCAAAGTTGAGGCAGAGCGCGCCGAGATGCAGGCTCGAGGCTGCGCCGACCTCCGAGGACGAGTCAAGACGCTCGACCAGGGCCTTGAGCAGCGACGACGACTGCTCAGCGAAGATAATGTCGTTGTCCGCGCCTTGCCCCTGTTGCCCCTGGCTTCCCCTGACGCTCGGTTCGAGAGCGCCGGCAAAGAGCACGTCAAGCTCCGCCTCGAGGGCTTTAAACAGCGGCTGGAACAGCGAGGTGGGCACCTCGGACGACAGCACCTCACGCATGGTCTCGCGCACGCGCACGTTAGCGCAGGCCAGCAGCTGGATGCTCAGCCGAAGATAGCGCGCCAGCAGCGGCTCGTCATCGTTGTCGCCCGCCGAGTAGCGGTCACCGGCCGAGAAACGATCGATCCACTTGAGCCCGCTGATGGCCGGCTCCTCGAGGTTGGTGGCCTGCTCGGCCGTACAGATACCCCCCAGTGACGCCAGGAAGCCCGAGTAATTGCGCCACTCGGCCACCATGCGCTCCGTGGCCGGCGGGCCTTGACCGCCGGCCTGCGAAAGCTCCATCGAGAGTTGCAGCCACTTGTCAAACACAAACTCCCACGCATCGAGGATGCCAGCGCTGGGGTACTGCATGCGCCGGAGCAGGCCGCGGATGCGCTTCTGGAAGGCTACGATGCCGGTGAAGCGGAACTCGCGCGACGAGATCTCGCGGAAGATGTCGGCGTTGCGGAGAAGCGTGAGCGACGATTTGACTGTGGCCGGGCCGCTGTCGATCAGGTGGCACTCCTGGAGGAACGTGCCGATGCACTGCGTGACGGTCTGGCATGCCTCGATCTCGGCCGAGCAGAGCGAGACTAGGAAGAGCTTCTCGAGTTTACCCGACGCGGCAGTCCGCTCGGGGATTTCATCGGACGTCTGGCCGAGTTCCTAACACAAGAGTCAGTACCCTCAAGAGAGACAGGCCCAGGGATCATGATGAAGATGAGATGATCCTTACCGGAATTGACGTCAGGAGAAGCAGCCTTGATTCAAGATAGCTACTGATGGACCGCAGCGCCTCGGAGTTGCAGGGTAGTCTCGTCCGGTCGCAGATCGAGATGAGAATGAGGGATCTGCTTGTGTCAGTACCAAGAGCCCAATGCTGAAGAGTATAAATGGAACACGAAAACGCACGTCAACCGCCAGAACTTGGTTTTGCACTCGTCCGACCCAATCGCCCGATAAGACTTGATTCTGGCCAGCGCCTGTTCGCACGCAAACAGCCGCCCCGCTACACTCGCCGCCAGCCGCCGGACGTTCTCGTCGGCTGCGATCAGGCACGCGATTAGCGCATTGAGGTTCTCTTGGTAGAAGATTTCCCGCTCGTCAGGGTCGGTGGGTGGGCCTTCGAATAGGGTGGCCGGCGAAGCGTCGAGGAAGCTGAGGATGTTGCAAGCCATGCTGATACAAGGGGCGCTCTCGACGGCCTTGCGCTGGGCGCTCTGCTCATTGATGTAGCCGTCCGCTAGGAGGTCGGCCATGGTCTAATCAGTTGGTTAGCAACAGGGGCGAGAAGAGAAAAACAGATAAATATATGACAGGGCTAGAACCTACCTGCAACTGCCCCTGGACAAAAGAACTCGCAGCCCGGAATAGCGGCTGGTACAGGGCACTGTCGCCGCCCTCTAGACGCGCAAAGTGGGCACACGCCTGGATCACAGCGATGCGGAAACTATGCGGGGCCGACGACGACAGGCACGACACGGCCAGCGAGTCGACGGCGTAGTCAAAGTTGAGGTGCGTCAACGACACAAAGGCAGCCGTCAAGATATCCTGCTCGTACAGCACGACGCCCTCGGTGCCCGGCGTGATGCGGCGGAACACGGCGTCGCGCACTTCGTCCTGGACGTCCATGGCGTAGCTCATCAGGGCCGAGTCGCTCTCGGCGTCGAAGTGGCGGGCCGCCCGCAGCAGCAGTACTAGGCAGTACGCGGCCTGCTCGTTGCGGTTGCGCAGGGCCTTGCGCAGGCCGTCCAGGAACTGCACCTTCTTCGCGATCCCGGACCCCTTGGCGTCACGCATGTTGCTGGCCACCTCGAACACGTCCGGCTGCAGGAACAGCAGCGTCATCTGCATCGGGTATAGCAGTGTCTTACGCCGCCCTTGGTCGCCGATGGTCAACGACATGTCGAACAGTGTGTCGGGCGCGTTCTCACGCCGCTTCGCGCTGCTGCCGGTACCGCTGCCGGTACCGCTGCCGCCCATGATCGCCGTCGCGGCTGTCGAGTGCAGCTGCACAAACTCGCCCGGGTGCCGGTCTAGCCACCGCGTGATGATCTGCGGCACCACCACCGCGATCGTGTTCTGGAACGCCTTGCGGAAGTGTAGGAAGCTGGAGCAGAACTCCTGCACCACCAGGCTCAGTTTGTGGCCGTCTGCCCAGAAGAACGACACGAGGCGCATCATGACCAGGGCCGCGCGCTCTTCCTCGGCCGTTGCTGCCGTCGGGATCGCCCCGTTCTGCGGCGGCATGTGGTTGCGCGCCGTATACATGACGTTGCGGAACAGGTCGAAGGCGCCCGCCCAGCTCGATGCCGTCACGTACTCCATAATGAGCTTGATGCTCGCCTCGATCGCCCCTGCGTGCGCCTGCAGCAGGTTGCGTGTCTCGGCGGGCTCGTTAGATGAGGCAGACAGAGGCGTGCGCGCCATGTCTTCGGCGCCGGGAGTCGCCACATGTTTGGCGGACGAGTCGTCGAGGATCGCCTTGGCTGGGAGCGAGTAGTTGTCGGGTATGGGCTCAAAGAGCACCTTGAGGACGTCGAAAAGACGGTGGACCTGCTCGTTGGCGAGAGCCCGGGGCCGGGGGAAGGCGGCGCGCTGAGCCGAGGATAAAGCCGGTTCGGGCGCGGGCGAGCCCGGGGTCTTGTTGGTTTCATCCTTTGACTTTTCGTTTGGCTTGCTGCTTGGTGGCCGGTTATTCAACCTGCTGTTGCTGTCGTTGCTGCCGGCCTCCCCGGCTGCTACCCGGTACCAATTGCTAGCGCAGCAGTCGGCGAGCAGCTCGAGGACATAGAGCTCCGAGAGAAGCACATGGGGCGGGTGCGAGTTAATGGTCTTGCCATGCGGCCGGACGGCATCTTCGAGTAGGGCAAGGAGGGCATCGAAAACGAGGCGGATGGAGTTTGCGCTGATCTTGACGAGAGTGGCGCGGGTGATGCAGACGATCTCGTCCTGGGAGAATTCTTGAGTCGGCGCGCCGGTACGGTGAGGGAGCTGTCGGGGAGCGTTAGAGATTTAACAATTGACAACTGATATTAAACATGCAGACAGCGACATGGCATAGGAACTCCCGAGGACACAAGGGACGCAAGGGACGCACTTTGTTGGTCAACCTTTCGACCAGGCAGCCGACCAGGCCCGCGTCGCCGTTCATTGTACGTAGACAAGAGCAGGACTTTGCCGGCGCATTCTCATGGTTGAGCTCTCAGTTGTGTATGGTGTTGTTTTTGTACTCGCTACCGAATTGGTGCTCTCCGTCTCTCCGTCTTTCCGTTTCCTTTTTTTATACTCTTGTCTCTCCGGTTTCCGTCGACGTCGTTGCGGCGGGGGAGAGGGGCACGGTTGACCCTGTCGTCTCCTCGTTCTGGTCGTTCGTTCTCGTGGCAGTCGTGCACAACACACAACGCGCAGTGTAACCACCCCCGGACAGTTGTCGTGATACGGGTCGTTGGACTCTGCTGGGTGATTCAAGCAAAAAGTCGTCCCTCAATGGGTGAACACCGAACACACACCACACACCACACAACACACGCAACACGCAACACGCACGGAAAAAGGCCGGTCCTGCGGCACTCGTCGGTCGTTCCCACGTTCTAGACGGTTTGGTCGACTGGGATCATGAAAGTCGCCGTCGGAACCCCGATTCGAGTCAGTCAGTCGGTCGTTGTCTCGTTCGCACCTCCCGGTCGGTAGGTCGTCGGCACTCAAAGCTAGGCGCGGGGGATAGGGCAAGATGCCTTCGTCGTGGCGAAAATGTGGAGGAGCGGAGGATAAGCTCATAAAGGTGAAAGGTAAGTTTCGAGCAACGAACGCTCGCTCGCTCGCTCGCTGGCGACAAGAAACTCGAAATGAACCTCCACTGCTTGAACCTGGTCCAAAAAAGTGTCCTAAACACGGACCGTGGGACCGCAGACCGCAGACCTCGCAAGTCGCTGCGGGCGGGCAGGCGGGCGGACGGACCACCTCGTTGCGGAAGTGGAATGGCTCAATGGTGAGGTGACCCGCATGGGAGAAACCCACACACCTACGGAGAGCGGGGACCCCTGCTCGCTTTTGCACCTTCGCACCTTTCGCCATCCCTCAGCGGTGGGTTTCCACCGTAAACCCGCCTGATCAATGGACGTTCAGTGGCTGCTTTGGGTGTTCTGGTGGATCTCCATTCTCTGGCCACTCAGAAGCTCAGGAGCTGTTGAATGCCAAGCTCTCGCCCATCGGAGGTTGGTTCCTGCATGGACAGTTTGAGGACAAATGTTTGCGACGACGCAATTTCGACAATACGCCGTTCTGATGAAACTGAATAACCACAATGTTAGCGAGCGAAGAATCAACTAACTTTTCTTCGAGGAAACTCGATTCAAAGTATTAAAACTTCTTCCTCCGTTGATAGCTTCCGACTAGATGGAACATGGCTTGCACCTTCCAGGTTCCATTAATGTTCTTCTCGAACTAGTCACAGACACGACACCCCATTCGACGCTTTTATTTCGTACCGCTCGCATCAGTCGCTCCAGCACACCACACCGCGCTGCTCAAAAGGAGTGCATATGCAGGACCCAATTCCCCGTTCCCAGCCCCCAATGGGCTGACATTTACATGCCGCTACACCCGCTTGCAGTATGTGCTAATCAGTAACCACTGTTGCTGTTGGTTTGCCGACTGCTTTCCCGACAGTATTGTCGTGCATAGACTGTGCAAACCGTTGTCTTAGGAATTAGTTAATCACTGTGATACTTCGTCCCACGTAAAAAGAGGACAGACGAGGGATCCCAGTGGTACGGACAGAAAGCTGCCGAGTTTGTCACGAGCCGACGCGCCGACCCGAACCGATGGAGGGGTCGGGCCGGTTGGGAAGCTTTAGGGGTCCGTCAAAGAAGGGGTCATGGACTTGTTTGTTTGCTCTTGGCACGACCTGAGCTACTTTAAGCGGAGAACACGGTAAAGGGCAAGAATAGGGATAGCGAGGGGTATTCGTAGGCCCAATTAATTCGGTAGCGGCGGCGTTGAATTCATTTATCGGCCAATTTCCCTTCTAAAGAGAGACCGACATGATCAAACCACAACCAACGCCAACAGAAAAATCGACAAAAAATCGACAAAAAATCGATAGCAAGTTTTGCAACTCTACAACAAAACACAGGAGTAGCGCGTTCCTCCACATCAGCCCACATCATACCCTACAGTTTCCTTCACCAACACATCCCGCAGGTATCTTTACCGCCTGTAACCCCCCGAACCCTGATATCCCCGATCCCCTCCAGGGGTATACCGATCGTCACGCCTTCTGTCCTGACCTCCCTGATACCCACCACCACCACTGCCACCCCGATATCCACCGCCACCACCTCCTCCGTGATGCCCTCCTCCACCTTGATACCCACCTCCCCTATGACCACCACCGCCCTGATACCCCCCATACCCCTGATTCCCACCACCATACCCACCAACACCCGGCGGCGGAGGCGGCGGCACACCAACCCCAAACCCAGGGAACCCAGGCGGAGGGGGCGGTTGCCAGCCCGGCGGGGGAGCACCATACTGTTGATGACCACCTCCACCACCATAGCCATTGTTGTTATTATATCCACCACCACCACCACCACCATACCCATTCCCATATCCACGATCATACTGCTGCTGCCCATGATACCCTCCCCGTCCACCACCGCCACCACCACGACCACCACCACGGGGCGGACCACCAGCATAATTGATCCTGTCGCCGCCTCCTCGTCCACCGCCGCCGTAATTGTTCCGGAGCGGTACACCGCCATAACTGCGGCCGGCGCTGCGGCCTTTGCTTTTGACGAATTCGACGTCGCTTCGGTCGAGGGCGGGGGTGGGCATTTTGAGGCCGCGGAGGAGCATGGATTTGTGGATGTGCGAGCTTGTGGGCATTGTGTAGTTCACGCTGGGGATGTGTTAGTTAGACTGTTGCTGGACCGATGCGGGGATGTTTGGGATTGTAAGTTTGAAATAAAAAGGACATACCTTAAAGACCGATCATAGTCGACATCCGGCATGGTATTCCGGTCAAGCGGATACACCAGCGAGCCATGGGGGACATAGCCCTCCACCTTCTCAACATTGCCAGCCAGCCCGTCGCTGCGCTTGGGATCCAGCGTAAACTCAGACGCCCCTTGCTTCTTGGAGTAGAAATGCGACGTCACATCCTCGTACAGACCCGGATGCGCGTCCGAGATGAGCAGCACATCGTGGCCTGGCGCGTTGCGCGCCTGGTCCTCGGGGCTCAGTAGATGCGCCCGGGTATCCATGGCCGCCAGCAGACGCGGCATTTCAATGAATGGCAACAGGGCAATGCCCTGCCACGACATCTTCTTGCCGTTGAGGTCGATGTCAAAGTCCTCTGGGTAGAAGTCGAGAATCGGGCTGTCCTCTTGTGTCATCAGCGGGTGGAACACCTCCGGAATGGCATGACGTGACGCCGCGGGCAACACGCTCATGAGCTGCTCAAAGGGGCGCGAGATGCGACCCTTTTCAAAGTTGATCTTCATCTTGCCCAGGTCCACGAAGTCGGCCGCAAACGGCGCGTAGTGGTACGGGTAGAACCACTCCCACGAGGGGCAACCCTGGAAATAGTACATCAGCACCCACGCTAGGCCTTCAACGTAGGCCCGCGCCACTTTGTGCCGGAACGCAATGTCCTTGGCGTCCACCTTGAACTTTTGCTCGTAGTACCGGTCCGCGTAGCCCTCCTCCCAGAGCCGGACCGTGTCCGTCGGCTCCTCGTCATCTGCAGCACCAGGTGTACTGGACTCCGAAGTGCTGTTGGCGTCATCTTCAATGAGTTCCGCCTTGCGCTTCCCCAGTGCCGAAGGCGGCGTCTTGGCCGTCTTGTCGGTCTTGTCATTGTCCCCGTCCTCCATCACCTGGTCACCACCTTCAGCAGCCGCAGCCGCAGTGGGACCTGCAGCGTCGACCTTGTCTTCCTGTGACTTCGCCATCAACCCCTGGATCTGGCTCTTGAGCACACTGGCCGCACTTTTGTTAGCTGCATTGGCCTGGTCCACGCCGCCTGCACCACGGCCCTTCATCACCATATCGTGCGTGATGACCGGCTTGGGCAAGCTCGAGACCGGAATCAGGTTCATCCCCGGGGGCGGCCCGTTGGCCTCGGGTGCGCCCCTTCGACCACCGCCCCGGCCACCGAGCGGCGAGTCATGGGCTCCTCCTCTTCCGCCCCGGCCGTTCTGGTTACCTTGCTGCTGCAGCTTGCGCCGCTTGAAGCCGGCCTCGCGCCGGTCTTCGGTCTCCTTTCGCCTGCGGAAAATGGAGTCCTCCTGCTTGGCTAGGCCGCCCAGGATGTACTGGGCGCGTTCGAGATCAACGTGCCCGTCCTTGGTTACATACCCGCCCATCACGGGCAGGTTATCCTTCCAGATGGCCATCAGCGTCTCGATGCCGTTCTCTCGGATCTCGAGCGCGGGCAGGTGGGGCAAAAAGTCATTTCCGACAAAGAAACACATAAACACCCAGTCGTCGATGGCGCGCTCGAGGTCCCAGCGGAACGGCAGATTGGGGATCTGGAGCTCAATGGCAAGATACTCACGCAGGATGGACACATGGAGCCAGATGAACGGCTTCAGGGGCGCCGCCTTGGCCTTCTCGTCAAACTCGCCATTCTTCTCCTTGGCCTCACCTCGGCAGTTGCGCTCGTCGTGGCCTGTCTGCCCGCACAGCTTGCACATCCGGGCCTTCCCCTGCTGTGCGAACACATCCTCACGGAGCACGCGGAAGTGCGGCTCGTGGGTGGCCAGCCCCAGCATGATCAAGTCGGCGTCGAGGCCGTAGATGACGTGGCGCGTGTTGGGGTCATGCTCGGGCGAGTTGCGCTGCGAGCGCACAAACTCCATGATCTTGTGCTCGCCCTCGCCGGGGACCGTAGCGTCCGAGATGATCACCTTCATCTTGGCCCACGCCGGGTCCGTGTTGAGCTTGTACGCGCACCAGTAACGCAGACTCGCCGCGAGGATGTCCATGAACGGTGTACCCGGCGTGATCGAGTTGGAGTCGAACGCCTTCTTCACCACCGTCTCCACGGGCTCCGCCTGCGCGGTGCTGCCCTTTTCCTTCTTGAGCATCTTGAGTAGCTGTTGCTTGTCCTCCTCTTTCTCCTTGGCGTCTTGGGCTGCGCGGAATCGGCGGGATCGCTGCTGGTTCATCTTGGCTCGGGGCGCAACACCATCTACAGAACATGTTAGCATCGAGCGTTTGGGGGGG